TCTTGGCGACAGATTTACTCGTTTAACCGTCGGGTTTTATTACATAACACACATTTATGGGTCTTTTCAGCTGTTTGTTCGATTGTAAGTATTTTTTTGAAATCTTTGTTTTCACTACATAGCTGTACAGGACATGCTAAGGTGCATCAGTATACGTGTATTGGTGAAGATTGAAGACATAAACAGACAGGGATCAATAACAAATCCCTTCTCAGATATGTTTGACAAATAGAAATACAGAATACATTTCTTTAAGGATGCTTGTACCACTACCAAACCCTGTAACTACGCAATGGGAACTAAGTGTTTCCGACATGACTGATAAATCATTTTTGAAAAGAAAACCATACCTTGCGGGTTTTTAATGAAAAAATAACAAACAATAATAATAAAAATAGTTCGAGGTTCTTATATACCACTTTATCACAACCTAGTTCGTAGGTCGTCTCAAAGCGCTTCACAAATTAATATCCGTGGTTATAGGGCCTTTGAAACCAGCCAATACTTTTCTCAACTCCCTGGGGAGCATACAGCCGGAGCTGCCATTTCGGCGCTAACCGCTAGCATTCAACAATTGTAGCACCGCCGAAAAACGTACTCATTTACAGCTGAGTAGACTGGAACAAGCGGAGTATCTTGTTCAAAGATACAACGCATTACCGTGCCCTGGCGCGAACCCGCAACCCTTCGGTCATGAGCCCGGCGTCCTACCACTGGACTACCGTGCCTCCTTCATAAAGATGAAACGAACAAAATATATTCAACACCAGTGTTCTGAGTTTATTAAATTATATGGGGTTATACCAGGATTCGAACCATGGACTTCGGATTGTTACACTATAGCTCTAACAGATTGAGTTTCCTGGACAACACTCCCGCTGTATCTTAAATGGAATTAAGGGGAGGTTACTGTATATTCACACAAACAAAACAAAATATATTGGGACAGGGATACTTAAATGTGAATGTGTAAAAATGAATGTTCATCCTCGCATAATGTGATCATTGTGATGATTCACGTACACGTATTGTTCTATGAAGTAACGTGGGGGTTTCTCTAAAATCCACTGCCTATACCTATATTTTACACTCTTTCTCGTTACGCTGGTTTAATTTATAATGATAACAACACATACCGTGTGGTTACCTAACATCAATATTTCATGGAAATATCGATATTTTTATAATAAACACTTTTTTTTATATCAAACAAAGAAGGAATGCATTTTTTTCATAAATGCGTTATTAAATCATTTGTAAAATAGAAACTAATTCTCATTCATTTTCCTCCTATACATGTGTTTGTGAAATAATCAGCTATTGAAATTTTAGCAAAACGAAATAGTTGAGAAATCATTTCATTAAAATGTAAAATTAGCCTGGAGGTCGATGAAATGGAGGAAGTCGTGCAGATCATAACAAAAATGAGGGTGATGGCAGACCATCATATTGGCAAATACTGTCGATAGATATCGCAGTTACCTCCCTTGACACCATGCTAAAGTCATCGGGGAAATCAGAACAGTGTGTCGTATTAATACTGTCGAAATTGAATTGAATTTTACTAGTAACGTAGAGCTAAGGTAAAAATGGGGGTGTTTGCGACAGAGTAGTGCTTTATGCTGATACAAATCTCAATACACAGTACAGTTACATATTCTAATTCAATATCGCTCATTCCAAGAAGATAATTCATTATAATCCATGTAAAACCGATGATGTGTGCCTTCGCAAAAATGCAAGTACTTCTTCTGAAACGGACGGGAAATACGTTATTTGTTTTGGCTCAAAATTTAAAGCTGAAATGGTGACATACATATGGCAAATACTTTTTTTACAGCAACACACGTTTCAATACTACCAAGCGTATAAGAATACGTTACTTTTGTGAAGCGGTCGAAACAAAATATCAACGACAGTGATAATAAATCACATCAAAGACCAACTCATTAGCTTTCAATGTTGTATATTTTATTTGTATGATACAATGTTTTAAAACATATTTAAACAAAACAAAAGTAACCCTACTCCGATATCTTTTGCATATAATTTGGATCAGGTACCACATTCTCGATATGATTATTTCCAAACTTCCCAAAGACTTCATTTCCAACAAATGAATTCAAATCAATATTATTATCATTATTTGTATTATTCCTTTTATTTCCTCCAATATGAAGATTACATAAACAGAACAGTTACATTTAAGAATCAATCAACATATATACATGGGCATTGGAAAAGTACACATGTATCATTAATGTGTACATAAGTATTTTATAAGAGAAAGAAGATGTACACGGCAATGGGCACCATTGCTTTAAGCTATCAAATGATTTGTAGATCATTTTTTTAACATTTGATACACATGTGTTATTACCCATAATCTTAAATTTTCATAATCTTCAGAAGACAGTTTATAATTTAATTCACTACCCGATAGGGTATAAGCCAAATCAAAATCTGGTAAATTATGAAAATAAACATTTAGCTGTATATCCAATATGGTAATTAAATGTCACCATCATCTTTCTCTTACTAAAGTAGTTTTGTTACAATGTAAGGCTATATGTGTAACATTATCATAATAGATTTTCCCACAGTAATGACATAATTCCACGAGTTTTGACATACGAGACGTTACACAAACTATTAACCTACTTACAGTGTATAGATTAAGAATTCCGTGGACACTTTGCAGCTAATTTCCCCACGTAATGCGACTCTAGCGTATGGTGAATGGACATAAATCGTACGAAATCGTTGTCATCCGACATACGTTCTAACCATGCAAACTCTTCGGTTCGATATCAATTTTTATATACAACTTTTTTCCACTGTCTTTTTCCTGGATATGCACCTAATTTTATATAATCAACAAATTCATCGTACAAAGAATATTTTCTTAGGATACATATGATACCTGGTATAAATCCATAGTGTTTCCCAACATTTATTTTAAACAATATTTATTGAAGAATAAGGTAGAACATTTTATTACAATGTTGTAGTAGAAATGATTTCAACTGGGCTATAGCAGTAAGAGATATATTAAATAATCTAGGTCTTCGTGATGTTTGGTTAAATCCATGTATTTCTCAGCATAATTTGTTATTACCATTGATAAAACAAAGAATTTTTGATCAAGGCATACAATTCCTAAGGGCCACAGTGGAAAACTCTGCAAAATGTTTATTGTATAAACATATAAAAGATTTTGGAGAATCATTACAATTTTACCTCACAAAATTTATACCAAAGAAATATCGCATTGATTTGTTTTACTCGAATCCGTACATCTACCCATTCTTTGGCTGTAGAAGTTGGAAGGTATAATAATATACCTAGATAACGTAGATAGTGTATACAGTGTAACTCCCCCTTTGAAGTAGAGGACGAATTTCATTTTTCATTGGTCTGTTCTAAATTCCAAAATCTCATATCCCGTTTTATCAAAAGCTATTATTGGAAAAACCCGTCTGTGTTTAAAGTCGTTCAGTTATTCATGAGTGTCCATAATATTAAAGAATTGTATCTACTAGGAAAATTCATCTGTGAGGCAAACAAATTAAGGGTATTATAATGGAATATTTACATTTGGTGTGGCAAAGCCCTTCTATATTACTACTAAAGTACTGCCAATAGCGGCTTCATCTTAAGAGACTATAACTGAAGTTGGTCTTTGCACCTCCGAGCGACTTAACAGTGTCACTACCGAACTTATAGGTATCTTATGCTTTGATCCCGAACACCAGCTGCCTGTCTCAAGTGTCTGTGAGAGCAACAAACATTTTTACGCCTGGATTTTTCACCAATTCAACCTTCTCCGGTTGCGCGATCAACATCAACAACATGCCGGACTGCAAATATAACTCTGACCTGATTACTGCGGGCTTCCGTTGAGTGCGTGCGCCGGATATAGGTCGCAATAAAATCGGAAAATGTTTTACGACACTTGTTACTATTTATGAATCGAGAATATGATATACATATATATAAATCAAAATCAAATGAATTATTAACGAAAGTTGCGGAGTCTTTTCAATTTTGTATGGGAAATAGCGCATGACGTCAGCTGTTATCTTTGTGCCGTTCTAGATACTGACCTGACCTGACGGTAATAAGCGGGAAATTTGAAATTTGGAAAAGACATAAAAAAAATNACATCTATGCAGTTTATTGCTTAAATATGATTGTCTTCATTCTCTGTAGATTGTCCATAATTTGTGTATAATATGTATTGTATACCGATGGGCCTATGGCCTAAAGTTTGAATAAAACTTAAAAACTTGAAACAATAAATCAAAAGTATGCAAAAGGATTTGGTAACAAGCTTAGAGCTTATGTAAAACCATCTCCTAACTAGTGATGGGTATATATATATATAGTCACCGTGGTTATACAGATGAAGGAATGCTGGTGTTGAACAATAATGTTACCAACATTTACATTGAACATAAAAAATCTAGTGACAAATATTCGGTGTACTAGCGTACTGGTGTCGATTTATTCGTGCCAAAAATAATAATTTCTTAATATCAATATAAGACGCAATACTTGTCCAGCCTAATAATGCAAACCCTCGTATACATTTTACACCTTCCGAAAACGTTTACGGAAAGTGCCGACGGTTCCCGATTGAAGGAGACTGTGAACAACTTAGATCTTTACCGTCCTAACATGTAAGGTTTTGTAAGCCCAAGCTGTGGTAAACATAGATACTGCCTTGTCTAAACAGTTAGATATGACAGGGATTTCAATAGGAAAGAAGTACAGTCCCTTAAGTTTGTTATTTAATACTATTTAGTTACCATGAATAACATTGTAATTCATTAATTTTTCATTGGATGCTTAAGTTCCAAAGGGGAAAAAAGAAATGTGTTTCGCCCTTTATATATATCTTACTATATACAGTTTATCAAGAAGAAGAAAAAACATTTAAGACAAATTGACCGATATAAAATCGTTCTACAAGTATTTACATAAGTTTAGAGCGCCTTTGTACATGTGTTTGATAATTAAACAAATCCTCGTCAGACGTCTTGGATAATAGAAACCTCAACATTGATCCACTTCTAAACAGATCCACGTCAAACGTTTTGGGTATTGGAAATCGACACATTGATCCAGTCCTAAACAGATCCTCGTCACTCGTCATGGATATTAGAAACCTCAACATTGATCCACTCCCCGAGGATGAGATAGAATAGAGTAGCAGTCGACAAAAGTATTGTCGACATAAACAACAGGAAAAACAGTCTATCCAAAATGACGGCGAGTTCTTTCCAGGTCAAGTCGAGGTCGTCGCCGGCCTCTTCGACCATGAGTATTGCTGTGGACGAGGAAGGAGATATTGACGCAGACTCCAGTGGTTGTTCATCAAGTTTCTTATTTCTCTTTCTCACTGTCTTCTTTGTTATATCAGCCTGCTCAACCTCCTGTAAAACCAAACTGCCCTGTTCCGTGGACGAGATTTCGGAAGCAGGGTGTATCCGGATATCGTTCATTCTGACGCAACAACAGTTGTTTTTGTAACAAGCAACACGCATCAGTACCTTCGACGTCAACTGTTTCAACCATCCTGGGATAGGCTCGTCTACGTCCGACCGGAAGTACACATTCAGTACCACGATGGTGCACAGGACACTCAAGGACCCCAGGCTTAAGGTGAGGGCAAGATACAAAGCTGCAACACGGTGAAAGAAGACAGAAATCAAGACACAGTTTTTGTCTCCTGTAGTTGTTCCAAACGGAAAGAAAATGTACCAAGTTTGACTGGATGTATAATAGTATCAAAATCAACAAGGGACATATCACTAGATTTATAATAAAACCAAAATCAACACAGGGACATGTCACTAGATTTATAACAATACCAAAAATGACACAGGGTCATGTCACTAGATTTATAACAATACCAAAAATAACACAGGGACATGTCACTAGATTTATAACAATACCAAAAATGACACAGGGTCATGTCACTAGATTTATAACAATACCAAAAATAATACAGGGTCATGTCACTAGATTTATAACAATACCAAAAATAATACAGGGACATGTGACTGGATTCATAACAATACCAAACATAACACAGGGACATGTCACTAGATTTATAACAATACCAAAAATAACAGAGCGACATGTCCATATAAACGGACATCACAGCTCTATCTAAAATAGTATCCTACTTTATACATGTCCATTTATCTTCAAGTAAACGGCATGTGAACTGTCCCTGTGAATAACAACGCGTCAATTGTGGAATAAGGACAACATTACGGCGTATGGTACAACTACAGTATTGTCCTAGTATCATTACCCACGTCACAATGATTTTGCAGACCTATCTACTTTTAAGGTACACTATGTTCTTGACAAGTTCAATAACGCATTGGTCAAAGATAAAGCATGTCCCAATTAACTTACCGTTAACCCACCGTAGCCGACGTCTGTATTTAAGTCAAAGACTAGATAATATTGACGCATTTATTTGTGCTGGTATCTTACAAAAATAGGAGGAAATAGACTTTTATTTTTTAAATTCATGTAATCGACTGACCAACCGTTAAGTGCCGTGTTGAGATAAACATTAGTGATTGAAGGACTGTACCAAACAAAGGAAAAGAAATGGGTTTGTTTATAAATGGCATTGGACGATTCTTTGTCGATGATGATATAGTTCGCTCAGTAAAATACGTCGATTTCCTGACTTCATTCGAAGTATTACTTTATGAATAGTAAGATTAATAACATAATGGATTATTCTGTCACATAAATGTTTATAATTCTATAGAAATACTTACACAGATAGCAGAGTGTGACAGAAGTACTGGGGATGTTCTCGGATATCAGTGTCAGGTACACGGTGTAGGCCAACAAGATCGTCAGCGAAAATCCAATCTTCTCTCCGGAATCTGCCGGAAGTTTGAACACCATGGCGCTCAATATCCCCATAAGAGCTACAGGAAACAACGTATTGAGGATGTGAAACATGGGCCGACGCCTAAGTTTGATCTGAAAGTCAAGGCCAGAAAAGCTTTGACCACCTCGGGCGATTGCTTCTGGAAGAATGGTTTCTGTGGACACGAGCTGCCACTCGCCATTTGTAGAATAAAACGTCAAGTCAAAAGGATCGTCCTTAAATCGAAGACTGATTTCGTTTTGTGTGTACGCCCAAGCTGTGATTGAGATGTTACAACTTTGGATGTCCATGGGGTAGAAGCGCGTGTCCGCCTCGCACGCAACCTTGTAGATCCCCGCCGGATTCCACGTGACGAGACCACGGTTGTTGAATCTCATTGGGATATTCTTGTCACTTATAATGGACACATCTTCCACTCTGAAAAGCAAATTTATCAAATACAGTCTTTAAAGTTATTGTGAAAAAAACGTTTACCAATTATTGTCGCCATTGTGGTGCAGTGCAAACGACTTCCCGAGGATTTAAAAGCTCGGAGGAACTATAGCATTAAAGTATACCACGTTTTATCGTTTCCGAACAAATGACCTCAGACTATTTGAAAAGCGTTTATATAAAGCTAGGAAAGAAAAAAAAGACGACCTATATTATTTAACTCACGAGTTTTCTATGATCAATGGCGGCCGCCAAACGTATGTCTCGGTGCTGAACAGGAATCGGATGTTGTCATAGGTCGAGTCTGTGCTCCATTCGAGCCTCGAGTCCTGCCAGTACTGTCACGTGACCGAGAAAGACATAATAAAAAAAAGAACATAATATTGAATTATTGTCCAATTTGTGATTTAGCTTAACCTATAATATTCATTTTTAGATTCTTTCAAGCAATATCAGATATGGAATTGAATATACATGTATTCAGTTTGTTACAAGTGAATTACTACCGAAATATTGAATAAAAAAGCGAGTCGTCTAAGATATAACACTATACAAAACTCTTCGATACTAAACAATACTGGAATTACCATACTATGGCCTTTTTTCTCACAATGCATATATTCACTGATGGTTTATGTTGATTTCATTACCATTACATCCTATTCACATTTTATTGACGCACATTAACTAGTATTTCACTACAATTGCAGGACAATGAGTTGGCTGCGCTATAGTAAATAGAATAGGTTCAATTGTAACGGGACCCTAACACAAATCCCACAGATTGCTCCATAGTCGCCAATGATGCATCAGAAAGAGTTTGGAATGCCAAAATACAATAACATACTTAGTTTGAACAAAATCAGGTCAGAGAGGAACCTTTGCATCACCCTGGTGTACACCCATATATGTGTCAATCGACCAGAAGCCACTGTGATAACAGATCGGAAATTGAAACAGGTTGCGCATATCTACATTTTCATACCGATGTCTATGTGAAGTTTCATAAATGCCCGGTAGTAACCTAGAAGAAATCGCCCGGAAATATTTTGTTAGAAGAACAACAAGAACGAAGACAAGAACAAGAGGAAAAGTTATAATCGTACAAATACTCATGAGAAGTTTCATAAGTACCCGGATAGTAGTTTCTGAGGAAATCTCCAGAATCATTTGGCTTCGCCTCGGGTGACAGTGACACCCTCGGGATGAACCTAGACACTGTCACACTCTAATGAATGTAGTATTTATTTTATCATACCGAAAACGAACATGGCGACTTGAAGAAATCGTACGCACATCTTCTTTGCGCGGTCACTATTTTGCCCTTTACACACACACTGTCAATCATTGCTAGGGCTTTGGAAAGCTGCATTCCATTGACTCAATGTTAAAATGAATAGGACAGTGTGAAATGAATGATTTTTCTCGACCAATCAGATTAAAGGATTTTCACTTGAGGTATAATAAAACAAAATATATAGCAAAAGTCACTCTACATCCAAGTTTTAGCCCTTCGTCAGGGTTTGAATGGTCATCACCCTTATGTAACATCCATGTTTGAAAACAGGAAGTTCACATTTTGTGTAAAGTGACTGTTGCTATGTATTAAGACTGGATGTATGGATAAAAGTGTCCGTATTGCAAGGTTTGTTGGGAAGTCTTAGGAAATATTTAACCAGGCGAAGCTGTTTCTGTACCGAGTCCAAACAGGTATCTTTGATATAATGTTTTTCTCCTTTTGCTATCATTTGGTATAAAATTTCATAAAATGTCACACGAAATATTTGGTCCATTTCTTCATTGCAAAAATGAAAGCAAGTGACAAGATAAGAACAATTCACAACACCCTGATATGGATATAACTACACAGTTTCCAAACTCAAGAATTCTGGATATATCCGAAGACAGCAATATAGCAACTAACCTAGAAGATGAAGGTGATAAGACAAGTCATAAGGATCAATTTGGCGATGTAATGGATAGCAGAAACAGCGACTGAATGGAGAAGACTCAAAATGGCATTGAGGACAGCTGGAAATAATTAACTCCAACAGTTTGGCAAGAAATAGAGGAAGCGGAAAGGGTCAATGATAGTCAGGTTTGGAATATTGATAATTATTTTTAAACACCACAAAACGTTGGTACAAGGTAAATGGTGAAATTCGATCGGAAATAAAGATTGTGTTACTATATAACTTTACACAGGGAAATCTTATCTGGAATTTAATTTTCGCCATTTTCACCCCCTGTCATGAGGCCGAATATATCATAACAGCGACCACTATTTAACAACATAATAAAACTAGTAATTAATTGTGATGGACGAAGTTAACATAGGACGAAAGTCAAACATTTGACCGGGCGAACATTTCCTGGTATACAGTATATGGTCCGTGTGTGGCATACTTATAAACATATATTTAGTATTGTAGATCGGTACTGCAATTAATACTTACAAATGTGAAAAATCCCGTCAAGGACAATGTTTGGTCCCGAATATCCTATAATAATACATGAAATGTATGAGAGGACATATGTTATTGAATAAAGTTGTTTATCAGTAAAATATTATCATTTGGCAATTTGTCATTTAAACAAAAAGGTCAGAAAATATTTCATATCCATACTTTTAATCATTTATATTTACATAGTCATTCATTTTAGTGTTGTAGCAAGACGTCATCCAGCAAAATGCATGGTTACTGATTTGTATGCCATTTCTTCCCATCGTTATTCAGTTTTTGTTTTAACAGTGTTTTAATCAACAATCAGGCAATTTTATTATATACATGGAATTTCAGAGGGATTTGAAAACAACCTTAGAGTTTATGTAAATTTCTCTCCTAAAATTATTTTACTTTATACGTGGCGAAGGAACGATACATATCGCCCTGTCGCATTCGTGAACAAAATAAATACAGAAAAATGCAGGCGACGAAACGAAGATAAGAGGACGCTAATTAGCGCCATGTTCTTTTTTCGTCCCTTCTTTTCTTCAACCTCGCCTTCTGTAGAGGCAACGAAACGAAGGAACGCTAATTATCGGTACGTCGCCGCGAATTTGCCCCCAGTAACACGAAAGCGACAAACGAAACGTATCGTTCCTTCGCCTGCTTATAACGCGAAATAACGAAGGGATTAAAATGGCACAAATTCGTCAGCATAAGAATGCCATATTATCAGTACTACAGAGAAAACGTATTAACAGTGAAAGAGCCCCTGTTCATAGTAAACAACACCTTGTTCGTCTGTCTCTTGAGACACCCCCTTTTTCATTAAACAAAGTACTGATTAATAATACCTTTATCTGTAATTGATCTCAGACGAGGCTAAGATTATGTAACAAAATCAAAACCGTGACGGAAGCCTTGTTATCGGTGGTACAAAATCCTCAACCGAGACCAAGATATCCCGATTTCACTAATAAAGTTACAGGTCATTGTTTCGAAAAAAAATAACATTTGGACGTTCATGACTGCCAAGTAGACCGTCTGGGGCCTCAAAGTAATGTGACCTTTCCCTGCCTAAGCAACGTATGAATGCCTTCGCGTTAAAAGTAGTCCGTGCTATGTAAAGGTAAAATGCCTCAAATTGGCCCCTAAAGGCATCGATCAGTCCATTCTCTCATAGAATGGAAAGTTTGCGACTTTTCTCCTACTTAAAACACAGCGCCCCTTTGTATTAATAGTGGCCTCATTTTGTGTTAAGTATGGACAGCTACTGAACAATGTACCGGTAATGAAGCTTACAATGACGATACATTTGGTATTATATTTAGGAATGCACATGATTTACATGTTCAAATACTGATATAGTGAATCTTTGGCACGTGAAGCGAGAACATGAGATTATCAGGAGACGACAATATCACTTTCAACATCATTTTTGAAAGATTTTTAATGTAAAGACACATTGAACAGAGAACAAAAGTGAAAGTTTACTAAAAAGGCTATCGAGACCAAAATTGAGAAATTCCTGAAGCAGAGAGAACCTCAAATATCACCAAAACAAACACTGGCGGCAGTTCAATTACATTGCATCTCACTTTCAGGAAATAACCACTATATTCGTGAAACATAAGGAACAGTCTTTTGGATTTATTCTACCTCCAAGTATGGATCTTTTTGTGTGAAGATCTGTTTGGAGTATTCCTAGATCAAGATTTATGTTTTTCTATACCCATCATTATTTATATTTAAAAAAATAAAAATTGGATTACCGTTTTCCCTCATTAAGTAAGTTTAAATCATTCTGTTGGATTTATCTGTTCTCAGAGACTTTTTTCCTCAATAAAATTCAACAGTGATATGGCTGCTGTATCATAACTAGATAAAATATAACTATCTGTGGTGTTTCAATGGATTGTATTGTATTGTATTGTAAAAAAATTGCATTACTATCAAATGTACATATATCTAGTAAAGCCATATGTTATAGATAAATTGTAAATTTTCTTCACAAACTTGCTGGTGCTTTGAATTATTTTTGTTACCTGTAACTATCCATATTTAGGCCAGAAACTGTCCATGATTAAACACAATAATGGACAGCTATGGCTTAATAATGGACAGGTACTTCATTGTACACTCTACTATATAATGTACAATGAGAACAAAGGATGATGTCACAACTGTGTTTGATAACGAAGAAAAAGACATATTTCAATGTATTATATTTTACACATAATATCGTGAATTAAATCGCATCAATGCATGAGATTAAATGACAAAATTGAATATTCTCATGAAATATTCCAAAAAGATCGGACGAATGGACAAATCCAGCGCGTGGTATCTAGTGGGATATCCTCGTCTTAGATACGAGAAATATTTATATATCCGTCTCCTATTCTAAAGGTTGTTTTCAGTTTATTTACCAGGTCGTTGACTGTGAGCAGACTGAGGGACACCTGTACCTCCACCTTCTCTGACGGCCGTTGTAAAACCTGGTAGTTGTTGGTTGTGAATAGTGATTCCCTCAGTGCCTCCTCGAGCTCGCGGCTGTATACGGCCGGGCCGCCTCCGCCGGGTGGAGGCGGAGCCTCAGACAGTTGCATGGTGACACTTACTATTATAATTCCTACAACAACATAGCATATGTATTATCTAAACATCCAAGTCCATTTTATTTTTCAAATTTGTGTAGTAAAGGATTTTTTATCCCCTCTCCCCTTTCAACAGCAGGATCAATCTTCACGCAGAGTTACGGTCCTTGCACTCCCTTTAATGTGGGTGTGATTGAAAAGGAACGACAACTCTGGGTAGAGATTGCAGCAGGATAGACCAACTAGGATTTCGACTTTTTAGGCCCCTAGCGTCACAGATAAGTCCTAGAAGACCGAAACAGCTGTATGGCGCTTTAAAGGTGTGATCACGTGTGTGTCTCGCGTTCATCAAGTAAAAGAGTATCATCAATAATACTGTGTATTGCTGTTAACACTGTCTCGTGCTGACAAGCGTGTACAATATTGAAGTAGTCTTCCACATTCGTGAAATATTAATAATGTTCAACTTGAAACTATAGATTTTCTCTCATTCTCTCAATGGTATTATAAATAGGATATGATTCAACTAGTTTTCTTATCAAATACATCGTGACACGAGAACAAAGCTGTACGCTATTCTTATTACAGAACCATGTCTTAAAACGGTCAACTATACACTAATAAAATACTCCACATGTATAGCCCAGTAAGGTCTAGATTTTTTCTTAAAACATACGAGAAACCCAAGGATCAACTCATTGACATACTTGTCGTAAACCAAGCATAAACGACCATTAATTTGCATGAAAAGATTGCTGGCAATATGCGATTGCAAAGTCTACGTATGATATGATTTTACTATGATTAAAATTCGATCTGATAACCAATGTCAACGACATCTAGATATTTAGACATCTAGATCTTCACTGAAGTTATTCGAAAAATTACCTCATCTACCAGTGGGTCAAATTATATTGCCTTTATATTACTTAAACTTAATCAGCACGCCTTATAATGCTTTTCAAATATTGATTATATCTGTATGATATATTACAATTACACACATACAACACAACGCTGTAGACGTGCCACCAGCAGTGTTGATACACTCCGATCGATACACTGTGTTTTCTATACTGAACTACAAACTTGGCTCAATCACTCCTGGACCTTGGTTTATTTTAGTTTAGTCAAGCTTACTTCGGTATTAGCCAAACTTACTTAAATAGCATTCATAAGTACTTTAGTTTTAGTCAGACATTCCTTTGAATAAGTCAAACTTTCTTTGGTATTAGTCAAAATTACTTAAGTATTACATGTATTCAATCTTTTGTATTAGTCAAACTTACTTCAATATTATTGAAACTTACTTTATTATTAGTCAAACTAAATTTAATATTATTCATACATTCATACCATATATATATTATTCAAACTTAGTTAAGTATACGTTTAACTTACATTAATATTATTCAAACACACTTTGGCAGAATTATTAATATATTATGTACTAAGTTTTATATATGTCGATCTTTTTGGTATTTTGTGTATCATATTAAAACATAGTTCATATAAAACGTACCAAAGCATTGAAAAAAATGATAAGAAGTGTATCTTTATGAAAATTATTAATATTTAGTATATCACATTAAATTTAAGGTTAATCTTTTACTACCGTTATAAAAATTATTGATATGAAGTGGGTTTTTTATATTTTTTATTATTATACAGTGTATCGTATTGGAAAATTATTCATTTTCTGTGTAGCATATTAAAACTTAACTGTTGGGGAGTCCATTGATTTCGGTTATTGTTCAGTGCTTAGGTGAAATCAAATTCAGATTAATGTTTCAAATTAATCATACGAAATATAGTTCTGTATTAAGCGTGAAGCACATTGAAAAACGCTTTCGTAAAGCTGATATTTCAACCGGAATTCAGCCGATACAGTATGCATGTGGTTCATTCGAATATAGACAGTATACGTTGATGTTGTGGAAAGCGCTTCTGCGTCATATTCTTTAAATAGTTTTTGATGTTATAAAAATAGTTTTTGATGTAATAAATATGCAATAAGCTTTCTTTATAATTCGTAATCTTCGTATTCCATTAAACCATTATAAATTTACAAGGATAATGTGAAGAAAAGAATACATAAAAAAAATGTTTGCTTTAAATACCAAACGGTGATCTATATACAAGAGAACATAAAATATGTTAACGCGCTGGTTAGATCGTCATTTTATATTTTCTTTTATATTATTAATGTTCAAATACCATTGCATTTTTCTATAGACTCATAGAGGTCAAGGATATCATCAATATATAGATAAAGTTCAATATGTAATTCACTGGGGAAGGGACAGCGTATTTCCATTGCCACCATTTTTAATGAGTTTTTTTGGATTTTCCCCCTACCTTTCCTTTTTCTTTCCTTTCACACCAAATATCTTATTCATTTGTTAATTTTAACCTCTATAAATGTAATGGAACAAACCACCTTGTTTATGTCATTATTGCAAAAAAATAAAGTAACATTATTAAACGTTGCCGTTCTTTTTTTTACATAATAGTCAGAGTATGATCGTTTGAAATTATTATTAAAATCTTCGAATTTAAGCAGTTCGCAAACAGTTCGTCATACCACAATTACATCTCCTTCAAACCGCTAAAAGCAATGTTTAAAGTGAATGTATCAATCAAATTATATTTATGGTGTCATCAATGATACAATGATAGCAAATGAATAAACTTATAATTACATTTCTATACGTAACAGATTTCATGTCTAAGTTATAAAACTAATTAAATGACACTGTAATGATGTCTAAATCAGCCATCAGAGCACCCCTAACTGTTGTATGAGTTTGGCATAGCGATGAACGACATCACATACATGTTCACACATTTACATTTTGTATAGTACATATTTTTGTCAAGGATGGATAATTTAATCTAGGGTAAGACCCGGAACCCGATAAACCCTCCTGTGTATTGTGTTACAAGGTAAGCACTAAAACTATTCGTCAGTCGGATCAGATTGCCTGACAGGTGTGATCGGGACTAGGTTGACGATATACATCTCCAAACTACAGTTATTGACCGTACCATAGGTGGTGACTGGATGAATGGACTCTAAATATTACCAGAGCTACAATGTGATATTTATTATGTTATCTTCACAGCCTTATTTCAGGTAGCTTCACGGTATTCGTGAGCTTAATGATTAATCCACAAACAGTTACTAATAAAAGCAGGGCTTTCATAAGATTATTTTTTTTACAAATATGTATTTATCATAAAAACCGTCCTTAGGAAATTAGAGTTGCTCACAGAAATCATGTTATGTAAGAAATAGATATTTCGAAAATGTTTCTTTAATAAAAAAAAATGTTTCGAATCAGAAATAAAATATAAACATTGTGTCTGAACACAAGAGTAAAAAGGTAAACTGGTTTTACATAACATCGAATACTGTTTTTCATTTCTACGTTTCGTTGATCATATGGCTTCGTATAAACTAAGGCAACAACATTGCATTAAACCTAATCAGTTTGAAGTAAAATTATGTGTTTTTGCTAAATGTATATTAGAAAATTGAATCGTTTGACGTAGATTTCACACAGACATTAAAAATGAGTTTGCGATTTTACGCATATAATAGAAAAACGTAGCATGTTTCACATCAATTATGCTGTACAACAGTTACCTTTTAGATTAGATGAATCGTTTACTACTCATTAAATGTCAATTTAAATCATGATAATTTGATTATTAAATTTTTAAAAACCTTTTGATATAATTGATATGATTTTGTTTGTAAGTGTTTATTTACAATGAAAATAAAAACAGTAATCAATATTAACTACAGAAGTTAAACATCAATTGATCAATCTTTTTAGAATGCATTTGAAAAAAACATGTATTATCAGTTTCGAATTGATACTTGTTCTAGAAATAACGCTCCATTTTCCTTTCATCTAATTACTCCTGTCAATTCAGGTTCATACACAGGAAGCGGTGTTTAGCAAAACTCTAAATTCTTACCGACAAGGATATCAGATTTTGTTGCAGACATGTCTGTTGTGAGCTGTCAACTCGTTTCAACTTCTGCTCGCATGTATTCCAGATCGAACAATGCACGCAACAGCCTGGAATTTATTTCTTATATATGAATATATACATATTGTACGCAGGCCGCCTAGAATTCATACCTAAAAGTCAAACACTATGCCATAATATGTTTACATTTAAAGAAATACGACCTTATAAAATGCTGCATTCTTATAGTAGATTTCATCAAACAAGTAACAGATATTTTTTTCTAGAAAAATTGTGTTTACGAGTGGCATATCCAATGGTCTCCATTGTGGTGTCATCTCGTCGTGTTTCAGATGCATTTTGATTGGTCTAGATATACCAACGTAATTCTTATGCTATTCAAGTGATTTGTATGTAACATACAAATTAGTTTAAATGTATAATTCCCAGCCAATATATAGGTCATATATACGGTAATTATTTTATAATGAATGAAAGCCCTCCAACGTGAAGGCAATGCATTGATAAGAATGTTGAACCGAGAGCTCCAGGACTCTGGCAGCCCCTAGTGGAGATGAGGAACTCCGGTTGATTTTTTTTTCATTCAGCTATTTATTCGGTTATTCATTATCCAAGTTTTCAATCTTTCCGGCTTCCTTCTTAAATTTCCTTCATAGACTTACCTGATATTCTTCCATTAGTTCATTCATTAAAAATTGTCTTCCCTTTACTTTCACACTTTTCTAAGGCACTATCCATTCACAAGCAAACAAACTGAAAATATTAAATGTACGAAAAAACTATATTATCATAGAACCAAAACTACGCCATCGTTTGAATAGACAAGTAGTCTTTTAGAATTTTTTCATTTTTGTTTTGTTTTGTTTAAATAACACAGTCACTATGTTAACTCATTCTAGCTTAATTGATTTGCTTATCAAAGGGATATCTCAAACACTGATTCTTGTATTCATTTAGTCAATAAGGATAGATAAAAATACATCAGATGAATTACATTTTTACACTGCACTTCTATAGTTATAAACCCTCACACCTCCTTACAGGACAACAAGCTCTGTTTACTCAGAGAAAATGACACAACAAGGTATTGGCCGAACATGGCTCATCTCTTGGATGGCCGAAAGTTTATTTAACATATTTTAGGATTAAAATATTTTCAGATATCATTTTTTATGAGTAAAATTGCGGCCTATAAATTAAGCGCCACAAGACATCATAAAATTGAAACAACATAGAAACATCTTAACATATATAATCTAAAAAGGGGGTGCGGTGGGAGGGTTAGAAAACTTTTGCCATATAAAAGGTCAAATTACTTGTATCTTTTGTTTATCGTTCAGAAAATCAAAGATGGCGTGCGGTTGCAAATTTTTCTGTCCCCCTGTGGGGTTCACCTGCTGAAACAGGGGTCAGCTATCACGTGGTTTAGACTTGACCCATGAAATTGTATACCAAAATTAAACACCGGGAAATTCAAATAATATATTGCACATGAATATATACGTTTGTGAAAAAGATGTCTATCGCTAGACTTCTATTTTTATGAAATGAAATGTTATTTATAATCGTAAAATCGTTTTTGTTGTGCATTCATTGTATTTTAAATTACTTAATTATTCATCACCGCTTCAAATATATGTGCCTTCCTCCACACAGAACACTCGCGATTCTATATCCCTAAATCAACCAAACTTTTAACTCTACTGCCACTCTGTTGGTATCATAGCCGTTTGTAATCAACCGGCATCATAAAAAATGTCGTCATAATTATACGTATTAAAGTAAAGAGAAAAACAAGTTTTAAATATGTTTATCGTATTTTGTAATTATTACGATAACTGCTTTATTTGTGCTAATTTTTCACACATCTACAAAACAAAACAGCAAATTTTAAAATATCTTGTTGAATTCCAATAACAATGCATGCGTTTTAAGTCAATTGTTAATCGATATGAATAAATCAAACCCGTTATCGGACAGGTAGTACATATATTTACAACGTCCAATCAGATACGATAGTTCGAGTGCTTTGACCACGGAGTGTTAGACTGAGGTTAGACATTGTGAATAATTAATGTGTCTGAGGGTTTCAATGAAGTTTTAAACCGGTATGTGTATTATCAAGTCTCCACCACTGAATACTAAAAACAGGATAACATTATTACCGAAATGATGGACTGCTTACAAAATATCTTAATCTAATATTGTGTCACTAAGAGCATATCTCGTATCGAATTTGCGTTATATCGTAATTAAAATGCTATCATTATTCAAATTTCATCATCAAATTTATCTACTATATTTTGAAATAAACTCGTATCGTTTAAATATCTTAATGGCTGTTTAACGTTTTGGGTTCCAGAATTACTTAATTTAGTCTTTGAAGGTTATTCTATATTAGATTTTTGCCGAATAAGATAATAGCTAGAGAATGCTTATATAAATTGCAATCATTACTTAATTGCCAATCAATAGATTATTACATATTTAGACGAACTAATTCTTATCTTATCACATGCCACCTATTTTAACATGTTATCTGAAAGTTTATAAGGTAATACTGTCCTTTTGGCATCGTACAAACAGTGTAAAAGGCTATCTCAACAATACATGCAGAACAACTATTAACAGGGATCAGTGAATCGTGAAGTGACAAATTTTGTATACGCCAAACGCGATTCTAGGTCATGGCTTATATAACGAACGGATGGGATAGGCATATTAAGATTACGAAAAATGACGTTCAAGTGCCAACTTATGAACACAATAATGTCAAGTTACTCCTTTGAAAGGACCTTTTTACCGGATCATCTTTTAGCTATCGGGTATATAGGTGTTGAGTAATACTCGAATATGTGTTGAATATTTGATAATGTCTCAAGTACAAGAAATGTCTTCCGCTGATAAATCCTCTTAAAGGAATCTTTTGAAAAAGCTCATGTATAATGGCACGCTATGACGAGGTGATAAGACGCATGATACAAATATTCTCTACTTCAAAATGCATCCTTAAAGCCCTTTTAATTTCAGTCGACTACATGCATAAAACATATTTCCTTTTTCAACAAATTAATGAACATACATACCAAAATTCATTAATTAATTAACAAAACCGGGGCGGATATTGAAGCAGTATTATTTCCACGAGTCAAATGACTTTTAACAACACTTGACGAATATCTCTCACTTCACAAATTTAATTTGATAGTTTATTAGTCACTAACTGATATCTGATTTTGGAGAAACATTCAATCATTCATTATCTTTCAACTTAATGTCGTTTATGAATTATTTTCCAATTCTAGTTTCCATGTTGTGTAATTTGCAGTTCCTGGATTACCTCCCATTATACGTAAGCAAGACTAGCTCATGATCATAAAATAATAGTGCACTTTTTGATAACATTCATTACAGAGAAATGTAGCATTTTAAGTTTTCTCAGAAAAATATCAGTTAACTCGACCTATAACAGTGTCTGAAACTTTTCTGGAATGAATATACTGTTTGTGACTTGAAATTAAACCACAAAAACCGTGTAATATGTAGCTGGTATGTATATCCTACATTCATCCATTCGCACTTGCACACATACACAACACACATGGAGGCACGCCCTTAAATGACCTTAGATGTCAATAGGACTTAAAACAAAATAAAACCAAACCAAACCTGAGGTCATTTATCAATATACTGCAAATAAATGTTTTCGAGAGATACATAATAATGGTTTAATTTGTCGGAAAAATAATCTCTTATTCAAGATATGTTAAGATACAATGTAAAGCGTGGGTACATATATGTGTTTGGGGGACTTAAGTCATCTACAGTATGACCGTATTTTACATTACAGTACTTATCAGCTGTACTTAATGTTATTTAGGTAAGTGCTGTACAATGTTGATCAATAATGATCTGCAGTCCTAACCTACAGTACATCAATGATCTGCAGTCCTAACCTACAGTACATCAATGATCTGCAGTACTAACTTACAGTACATCAATGATCTGCAGTCCTAACCTACAGTACATCAATGATCTGCAGTCCTAACCTACAGTACATCAATGATCTGCAGTCCTAACCTACAGTACATCAATGATCTGCAGTCCTAACCTACAGTACATCAATGATCTGCAGTCCTAACCTACAGTACATCAATGATCTGCAGTCCTAACCTACAGTACATCAATGATCTGCAGTCCTAACCTACAGTACATCAATGATCTGCAGTCCTAACCTACAGTACATCAATGATCTGCAGTCCTAACCTACAGTACATCAATGATCTGCAGTCCTAACCTACAGTACATCAATGATCTGCAGTCCTAACCTACAGTACATCAATGATCTGCAGTCCTAACCTACAGTACATCAATGATCTGCATTACTTACCTTCTGTACATTTATGACCTTTTACTAATCTACATTACCATTTGTTGATTTTCATACCCAAATATAACATATTGAAAGAAAATCTTGGCAAAATAATCAGGTCACACTATCAGTTTTGTTTTGTTATTTTACAGACTTTTTCTCAATACTTTTTATACTTTACAGTGCTTTATCTGCTTGTTTTTTATGCATCATACGTGTCTCTTGCAATGCTGTCGTGCGGTCTGCCCAAATTAGACATCGGTGGTAGACACAGAAACAGTGTACCATTCGTTAAGGATCAAGGAAAACAATGTTGTCGTTGAACCTAAAATTATTAACATAAAAATGAAGAAAAACATTCTGTCCAACATGCAAGATAGGTCCTTCCATGTAAGCCATGTGCACATGTCTTCATCGGCATCATGATTGGTTGGAGATGTGGATCTGTGAAGAGTAGGTTCTAGGGGAACATCGTCCTCGTTCTTGCTCCGTGACCTTCTTTTTTCCGTTGGTTTCTTGGAAATATCCCCGTTTCCTTCCTTCTCATTGACGATGTCGAACGGAGCTGCGCTTATTACTACCATCGTAGGGTGGATCTGGTTATCATTCAGTTTATAGCAGCACCGGTAGTTCCTGTAGCAGACGACCCTTGCTAGTACCTTAATGCTAAAGATCCTCAGCCAGTCTGGGATGGGTTCATCTTCGTCAGATCGGGAGTAAAAGTTCAGCACTAGGATGGTACACAGAACACTGAGAGATCCCAGGCACAATGTCAGTGCTAAGTACAGGGCTGCAAGAGAATGGGGTTTTTGTTAGTGATTGTGCAGGTGCAGGTTACTTAATTATGATAATGTATTCAGAAATCCTTCGATTGGTCGTTTTTACTTCTCAGTTCAACTCAAATTGCTCGAGGATATATTCCGTGATGACCTTCTACATTCAATCGGCAGTGGCGACTCTTTTTCCTTAACTGGTTATTCAATATTAGAGATTGAATCCACGTTGTGTACAGTAATGCCTTATTATATATACAACGATTGCTTTTGTTCACAGATTGCTAGAAGGTTCAACATTTGCCTGTTGCCCAATTTCCTTTAAATCCGATTGATTATATAAAATATTTTGAAATAAAATAAAAGTCCCTGTGTACTTACATAGGTAGCAGAGTGTGACAGAAGTACTGGGGATGTTCTCCGATATCAGTGTCAGGTACACGGTGTAGGCCAACAGGATCGTCAGCGAAAATCCAATCTTCTCCCCGGAATCTGCCGGAAGTTTGAACACCATGGCGCTCAATATCCCCATAAGAGCTACCGGAAACAACGTATTGAGGATGTGAAACATAGGCCGACGCCTAAGTTTGATCTGAAAGTCAAGACCAGAAAAGCTTTGACCACCTCGGGCGATTGCTTCTGGAAGAATGGTTTCTGTGGACACGAGCTGCCACTCGCCATTTGTACCATAAAAAGTCAGATCAAAGGGGTCATCCTTGAACACCAGAGTGATTTCGTTCTCAGTGTAAGCCCAGGCTGTTACGGAGATGTTACAAGTTTGGATGTCCATGGGGTAGTAGCGCGTGTCCGCCTCACACGACACCTTGTAGATCCCCGCCGGATTCCACGTGACGAGGCCAAGGTTGTTGAATCTCATTGGCACGTTTTTGTCGCTGATGATGGACACATCCTCCACTCTGAAACGAACGCGTCATTAATAGTATCTCCTACTTCTTTTGTCTTATATTACAATGAATAGAGTATAAAGTGTACATTACAACATTGAAAAATTATCGCACTTTCGATTTGTTTTTTTGATTGTTTGTTTGTGTAACGTCTTATTAACAGCTATCGTCATATAAGGACGTGCCAGGTTATTAGTGCTGGAACCAAATATATAGCATACACGACATGTCAATAGTTCAGTTATATATTACAATCGTCAATATATGACATAGTCAATATCATATCAAAAAACTTCCATGCAGGTATCAGTTATGAGGAACGAAGCACTGAAAATAGCATTTTACTTAGGCACATTAAACGTTATGTCATGAAATTCCGTTAAATAAAAGCAAGGCTTCTTCATCTTATATGTTTTGATCTACTCTCTTGCGCCTGATAAGACATAAATGAATTACTTACGAGTTTTCGATAATCAGTGGCGGACGCCAGACGTACGTCTCCGTGCTAAACAGGAAGTTGATGCTGTCGTATGTGGAGTCGTCGCTCCATGACAGACGATCGTCCTGCCAGTACTAGAGAAAAGTCGAACAAATTTCTGAAAAGCCCATCATTACCTTGGTAATTTAAGTGCTAAATTGTCCAACATTGAAAAGACAGTCAAAGTATTAGAATATTCCAACACTGTACCAACATTTTATACAATCTCAAAGTAATAGTCTTGTTCTAAATTGTTTAGTCAATCAAATTTCTACCGTACTCCAACGTTTAAACATTGTTAAGACAAGCAATGTCTTACAATACTAAGATATTGTATACATAATCAGACTACAATACTACAACAGTCTAACGTTGTCAGTATTGCATAGGCAATAAAAGTATATATTTCAATATAATTTATAATGATAGTCTGTATATAATATATACGCATGAATGTATATTTCTGAAGTACTATACTTAATGCATTACAATGGTACACATTGGTGTTTTTTTCGCAAATTGTAAAATGAAACATTATTTGGTTTAAATCGTTTAAATCAATACAGGTTTTTGGACAGTCTTGCTTAATACTTACAAAAGTGAAAAATCCTGTAACAGACAGGGTTTGGTCCTTTATATTCTGAAATGTAAATTTTACAAAAATAATAAAAAGAAAGTGCGCTCTTTTTATATAAATGAGAGAATGTTCTCCCAGCGCGTGTTTAACAATATACATCAATGAAATGATCAAGGAAAGAAAACGAAGTCGATAACGGAAAGTACATTACACGCCCCATTTCCAATAATAATTTTAAAGTGCATGCTATCTCATATTAGTGAGTTTTTTCATTTATTTGTTGGTTTGATTCTTGCAAAGGCAAATGACCTAATATCATAAAGGGTGTATCCATGTAAAGTAACAATATATAATTAATATTTTAAATATATTAACACCTATATTTCGTTATATCCGAAACCGCGAAACTTTAACATGTGTTAACGTTATCCTCGATACCTGATTTCTAACTATGAGATGATAATCCATTGCACGAGTTTTAATAAAGACTGTTTCTGATCGTTAGTAACACATATGTGACCTGTATAAGACCACCTAAGGGCGCCAAATGTGGCACGGTAAACGTCTACCCTTCCGGAACACCTGGATGACTTCCTTTTGTTTCGGTGTCTCCTCAGTTCCACTTCCTGTCTGTTATTGAAATCGATTTTAAGTGTCCATTTTGTCTTTGTTTGTTAACGCTGTCGTATATTTTTTAAATTGTAATTCAAAAGTTATTATTTAACACAGTATTATAAGGTCAATACGTACGAGGTCGTTGATTGTGAGGAGACTAAGGGCGACCTGGATGACACACCTCTGAAACGGACGCTGTAGGACCTGGTAGTTATCGGTGGTGAAGAGCTTTGTCCGTAGAGCCTCCTCCAAATCTCGACTGTAAACTGAAGGGCTACTGGGCTGGGCTGAGGAGGTCTGCAGGACTCCGATCAGGAGGGCACATACTAGAGTAAAACAAAACTATAATTACGACAGGAAACTCATATTTTAAACCTTTTTGCAGTCGACATATGGTGTTTATTGATTTAGTGCGTAACATAGATTCACAAGTAACTAAAGGTATTATTTTTAATCGTGTCAAAAAAACGTTTTGTCAACTTTACTTGGTCGTTCACCTTTTTCAATACGATACGAATGTAGAAGGAGCGGGAAAATGCACGGCCAGACCGGGATTCGAACCCAGACTCTCCTAACTCTAGACAGACGCTCTACCAATTGAGCTTCCAGCTCGTCGGCGGTCGACCTAGTCAAGGTCCGCTACACGAATACTACATACAAATACGAGTTGTAGTAATCCACATACGTATTAATCACAAAATCTGTTACAGCTATGTTTGTACACATTGATACCGAAATTCTACCGAAATTTGATTTAAACCCATAAAACGTGTGACATTACTCTTAACACCATAGTTTAGATCCAGATTATAACTGTAACAAATTCGTATGTGCCTGTAGTATAAATACACTGAGAAAAAACAATACAAACAACAACACAATGGAGAGCCTATACACATGAGACAATACGATTTTAACGGTGTACGGACAGCAAGGAACAAAGTACCATTTCAAATATGGACACAAGTGGACTTTTTTTCCAATTTGGACAATATTGTCTATAATGAAGTTTGATCTCCTGACTGCCCAATCCGATACCTATTTAGTTTTTAATAAGAGACCATGTCAATCTCACCAGATGAAATATTTGTACAGCCTTAAAGAACGGGTTATCTTTGGTCATACATGTATCAAAATGGTAGTTATGAATCGCAGATTAAAATAAGGAAAATGTTCACATAAATACATTTACTTCTATCTGCCTGAGTTGGTCAACTATTTGGATTCTGCTTGGTTTGATGTAGCCGGGGTTTTACTACCTTGCAATAATTAAGGTCATAAAGCAATGTTAATTAGATGACATATTTCACAGTGTGTTTTAATTACGTTTAATCAGAATGTTTCTCGAGTCAAACGTATATTGGAAACATATTGGTCCTGTAATTCCTGACACCGCTTTGGCCAGATCACCGACTCATTTTCTATAAGGATGTGGGAAAAAAGTATTGCTTTCGTGTTCATTTTTCAGATGCTCTACAACAACGATACGAAACAGACAACAGGAAGCAAGAAGACAACAAAAAGCAGGGAAAGACAGTTTGAAGACCAACACAAAGCCGGAGGCAAAACTGGAATCTCTAGAACGATACAATGGTGAACGTTTAAGGCAAAAACTAACGTGTGATTACTGTTTATAATTCAAATGATTTTGTTTCATCAAAATAAATAACAATGCAAATGCTAAGCTTGTTTTGGACACAAATAGGAATTGAAAATTTATTTTGGGAGCTTTCGAAAACGTCCGTTTCCTTTGTCCAGCAAAGAGTGAATTACTTAGCATTTATTATTCATACCTGATGAATCTTATTCCGAAATGACAATGTAACTAATTACAAACTCATATTCTTTGTGGTTCCTTATCCATAGAATCAAATCGAAATAACAGCCACAAGTTTGTCTCCGCACTTGCTAATACTGTGGTATAAGAATGTCATTATAATTCTATGTCATCGTGTTAAAATCTGGCCCGACTTAACAAACGTATCTGAACTCGATAACTTATTAATATTAAGATTATGGATCTTTTATAATCATATTGTCAAATTTGAGTGTGCGGAAGGGTTTAAAAAAGAATTATAGAAAGCTGTACTCGGTGTTATAAATGACATCTGATGTGAAATAATGAGAAGAGGGTGGAACTGGATTAGTCACATCTTGAGGAGAGAAAGAATAAATGACTGTATAACAGCTTTGGGATGGGCACCAGAGGGAAATGGAGTAAGAGGGAGACCAAAACCAACCTGGCGAAGAACGGTTGAAAAAGAGCGCAATCATATAGGATGGATTAGCTGGAACACCGCAAAAACGGCAGCGCAAGACAAAATTGGGTTGGAGAAAAAGCGTGGAGGCCTTTTGCGTCTACTGGCGCGTAGAGACTGAAGGTTAAGGTAAGGTACTCAGTATTAATGTTTAATAAAACCAAAATAATATGTCAATGTTTTCAATATATTTCAGCTTACAATGACATTCATTCAATAAATTATTTCAAGATATATGAAACTAAAACATGCTGTCACTAAGACGTTTAACTAATTACTACTTACCAATATAGATTTGTTTGACCGTCAAAGACATACTCAGCTAAGGTTGGAATGGTATTTCAGCTTATTCCCAAATATTGTTTATGTCGATGCTAACACATATACATGTGTAAAATATATAAACAAATGAGCAGCATGCACTATTTATAGAGCTTGGTTCGATGTCGGTGTACCGTTTGTACCGGTACCCGTTATATATATATGGAGGCCCATACATCACGTCCCGGAACTTTCGTCCTCATGCCTACGTAATCAGATGATACAGTTACAAAACTCCAAAGAACTAACTCGAGATAAAAACTTTGTTTTAAAATTGTTTACTTAATATAAAGCAAAACAAAAACTGATATTCACTTTATTATAGTTTAATATTTACTCTTCATTATGCTTTTGTATCTCTGCCATTACATTTGTAGGGCTACTTTAGCTAATAGAGATATTCATTAAACCTCACCTTCATAACAGCTTGCCTGATATCATGATACTTGCCGCATGAAGGGGCAATAAAACGTCATGTCTGGCTCACGTGCTCGAGTTTCCTAGATCACATTTCCCTTATTCGAAGCCTCTCTAGATATAATAAATCGACAAGAGCCACCACAACCTAGTTCCGAACGTCGGGAGCAGACGACAACAATGTCGTGTCAACCTGATCATCTCTATTGTGTTTCAATCCGGCTTCTCCCTCGTTAAACATGATTGACTTTGGAAAAATAAAGAAAATATTCCTCTTCTAGCAAAAACATTGATTCGTACTGCGCGAAGCATTTCTGCGTTATTTCATAAAAAGATACAAGAAAGAGGCCTTTTATTTTTCGCCTACTTCAGTCACAGGAAATGTGGAATTCAAATAAAGCAAGTATTACTTAACCCTAAGCGGGAGGGGGAATTAACACATAGATTTAATGGAACTATGAAAACATAACGGTGTATGATATGATATTGAACGTTATAATGAGTACATCTGTTAAAAGCTGACGTTGTTGTAATTGCTATAAGTAAATGTGCGTTTAAGCTTTTAATTTTTCAATTTAATTGCAATTTTTAGATTTCTAAACTAAATACGACAATTCATGCAAAGCCGTCTTCAAAAAAGAAGCCCCGGAACTCATTGAACTATGACCTATGTTCGTTTTAACCGAATAAACGTGTAATATAATGAAGTCACTTCGTTCATTAACTTCAGTTTAAGTGACATTGGTTGTCATCTTCGATCCCTATATGTTATTTTTATGTATAAATGTTTTAAAAGTAAAGATATACTCAAATAAAGTTATTGTAATACCAGTATACTGGTAGAAAACAACGCCATTTTTTCATATTACTCACTCGAAGTTTCGAGTTAATATCTCGAAATTTCGAGTAAGTAGTACGATAAAACAAAATTATTTATTTTACTACGTGGCCCGAATGCTCTTCCGTAGAAGGGATTTTGTAATCATTTGATTTTAACGACCTGATGAGGTGATCTTGCCGTACCACCAACAGTCCGTCACTTGTATTAAAACAATGGCGATCGTGACCACTATATCAGAGTGTATTAGTATTTATTAGACTGAAATATGTGCGGTATATCACGACCTCATATATTATATTTCCAGATACTGTGACAGTTTTGTCTAAATAGCTACTAATTACCCCCACTTGTCGGTACTTAATCGTTAAACAATGAAAATAATCATTGTAATTTCATTCCCATTAGTAGGTGTTCCTAATCAATACCATCGCGTCACCACGTTCTGTATGTAATTCCTGTTGATATTGATAATGGCGTCCTTCGTCTTTCCTTAACTTTGCCCAAATCATAACCTTGTTTATACCGACACTATCAATGCAATCTCTGTTTAATGTTAGCAGGTGATATAAACACATGTATTTTGCATAAAAGAAGATAGTTTATCAGTGATGACGGGTCGAATGACAAAAACCCATTGTTTCTGTGTATGCAATGCAAAACATACATGTGTTAGATAAAAACCTAACTGTGACAAAGTTTTTTTATCAAGGCAAAGATAGTTCAATCTCACCACGTAATCGAACTATTTCCTACTCGTATTTAAAGTGGATGACGACGAAACATGACATCATTGCATGATCTTCCATTTGCCCAATTTAACAATTTCCCAACAATTGCAAACTAGCCACCATATATACTTACCCCAGTAAAAGATGTACTAAAACGCGTTATCATGGTGCTCACATGTACTCGCGTGGTGTCGGTCAATCGGATTTTGAGACCTTTAAATGAACTTCTGAATCTCAATATTTTCTTTGTTCTATTGAAATGCGTGACTTCTCTAAGTCTTATCTAAAAGAATTGGTTGATATTAATCATTTCTGTCTTAAACTTGCAAACACGATTGTGGTCAATAGGAATATATTTATTTTTTTAAACATCACACCGTTAGCAATCAAAAATATGTCGAAGATGGAATCTTTCAGATGTTAGCTATTTTACTGAAGAAAAAATCCTCGAGGAAAATATTTGTCAAAACATCACACCGTTAGCAATCAAAAATATGTCGAAGATGGAATCTTTCAGATGTTAGTTATTTTACTGGAGAAAAAAATCCTCGAGGAAAATATTTGTCAAATATTTCAAAAGACTTTAGGTGTAAAGTAGTCTGTTTGGGACGAAATGTTGGTTTTGTTCTTTAAAGAACTAAAATTTCGAAAATGATTTTCATCTCAAGAATTCTCCATATCTTTAAATTACAACATTAAAATATACCAGTCTACGTTCATCTTCGCCGGCATATTTTGTTGACATTGTATGACAATAATGTGTACCTCAATACCACAAAGGAAAATACGTACATATACCATATCATTCAGTCTTTTATGTCAAAATTTATCTGCATACAAAATACGAAATAAAAGAGACCTAGTTATATTCTGTTTTAATGATTTTCACGTGGATATATAAATATGTATGACAAAATGAATACATGAGATTACATAAATATAAAACAGGAATTATGAATTCGGCGAGGAAAATATCTGCTCACATTTGAGGTACATGTACATGCAATATCAGAAATCGTTATCATAGTTAACGTGGGGATATCGTGGATCATCGCAATGATCAAATCTGAACAATTTTTTTTTTGGGGCGGGTGTTCTACCGTTGTGCCAATACATCGTTGTTCATGATGTGTATACTGTTGTCTTTCATGCTAAGGTTTTTGAGACTTTTGTATGCACTATATTATTTATTACAGCTATATAATATACAGGATCTGCCTTGTCATACCTTGGGTTCTCAACACCTTTCCAATTTCTTCATTTAAATTAATCATAAAATCTTTCTATTAACTGAAGTAAACAAATTATAACAATATTAAAAGGGTGTACTAAGAACCGACAAGAGAATATCAAAGCGTCCACAAAACCATTTATAATTCTAACACAAAATCAACCAAACTAAGGCAAAATATGAACAAAGAAATGAGTTTCTGGGAGACCCCTGGAAAAAGTACAATGAGAATATGACTAGGTGTTCCTGAAGGGTAATCATCTTCTGAACGAACAAGAGGCCCAGAGGGCCTGTATCGCTCACCTGGAAATGTTGGCAAAATTGAAGTTAGAATAGCCAGATGTTACTGGAACTGTACATGTATTACATGGTTAGTCAGGGGTTATATTTATATACAATTGGACAAGATCCTGTCATTCCTAAAGTAAATGGAGGATTTTGAAGAATTTGCTATGTTTCTCCTATAGGGCCATGCCCCTCTGCCACAAGGGTGGTCAGACACATCATTGATACAAAATTATGTCCCTTTCACCCAAGGATGCTTTAGACCAAATATGGACATAATCCTGTCATTCCTACAGAACAAGAAGGATATTAAAGCTATTCCTCTATATTCCTTATTGGCCCCCGCATCTCTGCCCCAAGGGGGGTGAGATCCACGGTTTATACAAAATTGGTTCCCCTTCACCCAAGGGTGTTTCATCCAAAATTTGATTAAAATTCTTTCATTCCTACAGAGGAAGAAGGATTTTGAAGAATTTGCTATGTTTCCCCTATTGGGCCCCGCCCCTCAGGCCCCAAGGGGTTCAAGCCAACCATTTATACAAAATTGATTTCCATTTCAAATAGGGTGCTACTGTTCAAATTTGGTCAAAATACCTTCATCCCAGCGGAAGAAGAAGGATATTAAAGCTATTCTTCTATATCCCTTATTGGGCCACACCTCACTGCCCCAAGGGGGGTGAGACTCGCCGTTTATACAAAATTGGTTCCCCTTCACCAGAGGGTGCTTCATCTAAAATTTAATCATAATCCTGTCTTTCCTACAGCAGAAGAAGGATTTTGAAGAATTTGCTATGTTTCCCCCATTGGGCCCTGCTCCTCTGCCCCCATGGGGGCCACACTCACTGTTTATACAAAATTGAGTGCCCTTGGCCCAATGATGCTCCAGACTGAATTAGAATAAAATCCCTCAATCCCTATGGTAGAAGGATTTTAAAGGTTTTACCTCTATTTACCCTCTTGGACCCCGCCCCTCTGCCCCAAGGAGGGCCACACCCACCATTTACACAAAATTGAGTCCCCTTGGCACAAGGATGCTCCAGACTAAATTAGAATAAAATCCCTCAATCCCTACGGTAGAAGAAGGATTTTTAAGGGTTTTCCCTCTATTTCCCCTATTCGGCCCTGCCCCTCTGGTCCCAGGAGGGCCACACCCACCGTTTACACAAAATTGAGTCACCTTGGCCTAAGGATGCTCCACACCACGTTTAGTCAAAATCTACTTGGACGTTCAGGACAAGTAGCGTTTTAAAGGAAAAGTTGACGGACGGACGGACAGAAGGACGATGGAAGCTGCGGTATGGCATAAGCACACCATGGTCCTTTGTACCCGGTGAGCTTAAAACAAGACAATGTATATATTCAAAAATATCAACGTCCATATCTAGAATTTTTCTCACTGAGATAATGATGGCGACTATAAAACTTGCCCACAGTCTTCATCAAACAGCTTTGTTTGATAATAAGTAATCTTGTGACCTACAAGAACATCTTATGAATAATTGGTATTTTAATAGAATGGAAGTAATTTTGATTTTTGGTTAAGATAGTTTTCTTTTAAGGCTTGAGCATAACCCCTGGAGTATCGAGGATGACGAACACACAGGAACATCTACATAACATCAACTAATCATTATATAGCATGCACACTTATTGGTTTACCTGGCTCGCATGTGAATAACGGTGCACAGACTTGAAAATGTATTACACTTCACAGCTATAGCTGGACCTATACTAAGGTGTTTCAGAGTAGTTTTACACGTATATATCATCATTGGGGCGGCATTTTTACCGAAAGCTGATGTAAACCCCTAAAACGAGTAAAATTCCTCAACACCTTACTTTATATCCAATTATAGCTGTAACAAATTCTCAGGTCCCTGTGATTAAGTGGTCACTCATTACGATTCAATGTAATGCAGCATGATAACAGTTTTCTACTTTAAAATGACATTTGTCTCCATACGATAAAATATATGTTATTTTTCTGAATAGGTTTTATCATATTTTTTCATTTTGTAGAGATCAATTCTCTAAGTTCTGTATTCACATTAATCATCATAGTAAGCAAAATTAATTCGGCCGTGACCACCCAAAGATTTTTTCTAACGTCACAATTCCCATTGGAAAACTTGTAGTTACAGATTAAAAAAGATTGCTTAAAGTCTAAAAATGGACGAAATATGTTATGAGTTGCCAATTACTACATGGGTTGTCAAGTTTTAAATATAAAAACATCAAAAAATAATTATTTGAATATTTTTATCAGCTCAGTAGAAACGTTTTAAGGGTATGAAATTACACATAATATGAATTCAATGGTAGAAGAAACAGAGCGTTGTAACAAGAAACATGTAACAGGTGTATTGCACGCACGGACTCCCAACAGTAACACATACATTAGAACAATTTAATTAAAGTAAAAATAAAGTAAGGAATAAGAACAAAAGAATCATAAATATCAATATTTTTTCTCAAATTATAATGTATATCATATTTGGCCTGATGTTTTCACTAGGAATGATAGGAACATATCTCAACTCATTCACCCCTACATATCTGAACTGGACTTGCCCAGTATTTGACTTGGTAAGGTTCAAATGTGACATAAAGGGTGAATGGGTAAACAAACATGTACATAATTATATACCAGTACAACCCTTCAGTAATCAATTATTTACAGGTTAATCATGTTTTGTTTCAGCAAAGCTAGTTTGTAAATTCTTCTCTGTTTTTCTATTATTAAATTTCCAGATATCTCTATTGTTAACATTATTCTTATAAATTTTAGTTCCCCTTGATATAAAAAATATATGTAAATATCTAACAATTGACTTAAAAACAAAATTTTAATAAATATAGATTCTGCCCAGGATACCTTATACATTTGTGAGAAAAAATACAAATCTTAACATGTTGCCGTAAGGGATTGGTTTTCGAGAAAAAATGAAATTTTAGTTACAACTGATATTACTTCTAAAAAGATCTGCAAGACATGTATATATCATTGGAAAGAAAATCTCATGAACTATAAATTAGATAAATACAGTTATTTTCATTACGTAACATGCTATCAAGAAAGTTTTTAAAAGAACACTAGAAATAAAGTTAAAGTGAACTTTTATTACATTTACATTATATCCTTCTTTGTACTTGTACATTTTATTTAACAAATACCTGCATGTACCATGAAATACAATGAAATGTCTTGAGCCAGGAACTGACAATAAAGCTGGTTTTTCCACTAAAACTTTCAGAAAAAAAGATCAGCTTAAAAATAAATGTTTTACATTTCATGAGTCATCGAGTTATTGTGAATCCCCACATACTCAAAGGATATCCATCTGTTAAACTGGGTAACTATCGCTTAATATTGCTTATAATGTGTATTTCTCCCACAACCACTTTGGGTTTCCTCACTCCCGACTCGATAGACAAACCTGATAGGAGTTGGAAAACATTTCGATCACCCGATAGTCATGATCCGAGGCCATTGTTTTTCCCATTGGAAATGGACATAATGGAAACATGTGGTTTTCCAGACAAAATGTCAATGTTATGGTAGAACAAGGTCCCCAAACTCGTGGTGGTTGGTTATCATGTTCGTCCGACTCTCATTAGTTAATTTTCAAATTTTAAATGACACCCGAGAAAACGCGTCTTTAAACAATTTGAAAATTAACCAACTCGGTTAGATAATCATGCTAGCTAACCGTCACTTGTTGGGGAACCTTTATTTATCAAATAACATATTCTATGTTGAACTTGAATCCATTTGTTTCCAGGCATCGGTGATTTTTCAGTTGAATTTTTTCTTTGTTGCGGTGTATCGTTCCATATACTGAAACATAGAAAACGAAAAATAGTTTCACATGTTACAGGTTTGGAAGTTACAGTTAATATTTCCCATATCATTATTTTTATTGAATGATGAAAATTGGAATAATACATATGTAGTATACTTTGCGTATTCTCGCCATCTCGCACCACTATGCTTCATGCTTGGTTTCCCTTAATTTGCCTGTGGTGTAGTACTTAACATATAAAATCAAAAGCCCCCAAAAAATGTTACTTTTGATTTAAGAAATTTCTGTAGCTGCAGAGGGGACAGGGGGTGGCTTGTTTATTACTTAATTAATATCTGTGTAATGTATGACTTATTAAATCAGTTACCTCATCATATCCATCCAAATTATTAAAGGCCTTCATATCAAACACATTGCCTTCCACTGCTAACAGCGCAATGCTCGACTCCTTCATTAATTGCGGAGAAAAGGCAGAGATCTCGAGACAATTTTCTTCAACTCTTAGCACTTTCAATCGGGGACATGACGTCAAGCTTTCAGGCAGACCAGAAATCTAAAAAAAAATCAAATGACACACTCATCGTTTTCAATTATTTTAACATTATGAATGAAAACGCAAATATTCAGACTTAGTTTTAAAGCATAAAAGAACATAGAGGTATATAACATGGCAAAAATCTCATATTTTACTGAAATTTGAAAAAAAAAAGATTATTGCAAGCTTTTTAAAATGTCCTATTTATAAAAATACAAGTTTAATGCAGATGAAAATTAGGATGTCATTATTTGTTATGTTTTAAAATTTCATTCAAACCCATTAGTCACTTTGGAACTACCGGTACACTAGAAATTAGTAATTTGTAGCATTTTAATAAATATGATGTCTGGTATATATTCTGTGTTTCAAAAAAAATACAAAAACAAAATTCATATATTTTCAATCGTTTTAAATTACCTGGTACTTAGTTCAGCTCTCATTGAATGCGATGCAAGGGAGATAATAGTCCCCTGTGCCATATTTATTCTCTTTGCAATGCTCAAAATGTGAAATTTAATATTCCACATCCTAATGTTATAAGGTTTATATACCTGTTTGTACCCGATATCAATACTTAAAGGATTTTTTTTTTTAAGAAAATGTCAAAATGATGAGCAATTGGAGGTTCATAAGATTTAACAGTAATAGCTATAGCCTACTTACCTGGTTCTGGTTCAAATTTAGCTCTATAGCTTGACACTGTTGCAAGTCACCAGGCAAAACTGTGATTTTGTTCTTTGATAGATCTAAAGCATCCAACTGCCTCAGTGCACACACTAGCTTAGGAAATAACTTCAACCGATTGTCTGATAAATTCAGTGTACGTAAACTAGTAAGTTTTGCTAAGGATTCCGGTAATGATGTCAGGCAATTATTTTCTAAAGACAAAGATTCCAGCTTTTTCAAATTCCCAAATTCTGTTGGTAATGTTTCTGAAATGAAAGAAAATCAAAACATGATATTAAACTTCTCAACTTCATCAAATCATTGCAGCGAGATAATTTATTTATCTATTATCTGTTTTTAGTACAGTACAATACATGAATATTTGAGAGTTTCAAAACTTGCATAGTTTGCTCTGGTCTTATAAAAATTCATTATCATGAAGTAACTAATTAGAAAAGAGTGATGTGTTTATTATAACAAACACATTGACAGGACCACATCTAGAATGCGTCAACTTGTTATCAGGCACAATGTTCCTGGCCAAATCATATCAAGTAATGTTTTCATATAATTTTCATTATAATTCCACGTAGCTATACAGCAATGAAAGCAGTATTTTCACGATCATCCTCGATACTCAAGTACGCTCACTTATGCTCTCTGCACTAATGGAATAGGTCATGACACTTGTGGAGGAGACAAGAGGACTAGTTTGATCCTTTTGATGTACATCAAATGAATGTCGCGATCATGTAACAGTAAAATTGACTGACTTTGAGGTTTGGTGTCGCTCCTCTGTAATCTTCAAAGGATACACCCGAGACCAATCAAATAGCTAGCCGTGTGCCTTCAGTTTTGCTATGACATGTTCCAGGGGTGCAAAAAGCGAAAGTGAGCATAAACTCAGAAGTTTTGAGGATGTTTCAAGATAAAACTTATTTCAAGATTGTTTTTTTCTTAAAGCCCATCATTCTACACTTCATGATAATAATAATAATTCGAGTTTCTTATATACCGCTTTATCACAACCTAGTTCGTAGGTTGTCTCAAAGCGGTTTACAAATTATTATCCGTGGTTTTAGGGCCTTTGCAACCAGTCAATACCTTTCTCTACTCCCTGGGGAGCATGCAGCCGGAGCTGCCATTTCGGCGCTAACAGCCATTACATATAACAATTCTAGCACTGCCCAACCACATACTCGTTTACAGCTGAGTAGACTGTAACTAGCGGAGTAAAGTATCTTGCTCAAAGATACAACACACTGCCATGTTGTGACTCGAACACGCAACCCTTTGGTCACGAGCCCGGTGTCCTACCACTAGACTTCCGTGCCTCCTAGTCCTAGTCATCCAAGTCTTAAAATACTTACCCAGTCTATTTTTGCTGAGGTTCACATTTTTTAACAAGGAGAAGGATCCAATAACTGGAGGTATCAATGGTATTTTATTTTCTGACAAGTCTAGTGTTCTTAGATTTTTGGTCAATCTTTGTAAATCTTCTGGAAACTGCAAAGAAATAGAATAGGAAATAATTTTGTTGAAATGTAGATCTACCACAGCTAAAAATCATATACATGGACTGTACCACCTTTCAACTTTGGAGTTTAGAATATTGAATATAAAGACTTTTTATAAGTGGGTGAAGTTATATAAGATCTTTTGATATTTGTTGGAAATTTAGTCCTTTGAAAGTCGAAGGTTGTTGATAGCAAACAGTGATAGCTAATACAGCCACAGCATGTCAACCATGCCTGCTTTCATTTCCAACCTTGAAACACAACTTCTTCCAAAGTATGTATATCAAAGTAGATTTGGAAAATGCGAAAGATACTTCTTGCAAGTCATGACTAAAAATCAGCATTAACAAAAGTTGCATAAGACCACAAGGGCCATTGAGCTAGAAAATGTCTGGAAGACATATTGAATGCCCCTAACTTGTGCCAGATTCCAATCAAAAAAGAAGTGTGGTTTGACAACCCAGTGCATAATGCATTTGCCTTTCACCAAGACAGTCTGGGTTTGATTTCCTGATCGGATGTGAAAAGATCTTAGGTCACCTGCCTCACCACATGGGTTTTCTCTCCTGGTACTCTGGTTTCTTCCCACACTAAAAATACCCTCCCATCCAAGTGAACAAGAGTGATTTATTTAAGTTGGAAAAACTTGTTTCATAATTGTAGTAAAATAAATAGAACTTGTATATTATTTTCACCAAGAGAAATGTTCAGTCATCAGAATGTCGGGACAAAAGCATGTAGTGCAGACATTATATACTACCCTGCACAGAAATTTACTTGAAAATGACAACATCAGGAGGTCCCTTTTAGCAATGTTACAAACTCAAGGTCGATCAGGATTTCTACACAGGGTAATGGTAGGTGCACGCAGATACATGTATGAAAGCCAATGGGTACATCCATTGTGCACTCTCTTCAGCCAAATTATTATAGAAAGTCATAGAAAAAGGTTCAATTATTGGATAACAATCTGTTCCATATCTATAATAAAAATATTTTTTATTATTCTTATTATTTTCATTATTTTTTTACTTAGGTATGATTATAATACAAATTATATATGTAACCAATGCCAGTGACATCAGGTACAGTAAGTTAAGAACAAGAGCTATGTTGTCACAAATTCCACCAAGGGAGGGGGTTGTGCCCTTTCCCAGCATTTACCCGGGAATAAAATTGGTTGACAGAGAATATTTTATAATACTACAACATATGCCCGATTCCTAGAGGAGCTTAAATAGCCAACTTGGAAAAGGCAGCATTTATTTGCCCCAACAATAATATTGATCTGTTTGGCAAACCATTACCAAGCTTTATGTATAGCTTTGAACTTTTAATCAAGTTGTGTTAACAGTAATATACATTTTCTATATTTTTACTCATTTATATTTTTTGCTCTCTTCTATAGCCACAGGACTCGGGATCTTAACCGACTCAAATGTATTTTTCACATATTTATTTTTTTGATCATTATATATAGATAATTGTGACTAAACAAACTTTACTTAATCACATTCCATTATCTTAATCAAACATAATCTCATAGTGTAATGATTTTAATGAATATCTGATTATAGTTAAATATATATTGTGTGTGCTTTTTATGAGCTTGTTTTTCTTCCTGCATGTGTTTTTTTTTATAATGCATGTTTTGTTACACTTATGCCCACTGTGATATTTTTATATGTGCTGTCCTAATTACCAAGAATGAAGTTTCTTGTAACTTGTATCTTACAAACTAAACATATTATAAAATTTGAGGGCGAAACGTCTTCGTTTGTTAACCCAAAAGGTTCTACCATTGTAATACCGGTAAATGATAAACATCTTAACAAATTACAACATCGTAGTCATGCAGCCTTTATATTGACTTAAATTAACCAATTCATTTATAAATATAACACATCATCCTATCGTTTTTATTCATCGTGGGTGCGGGATATATGGGCGACATGACTTGTGACGTGATGTCACTGCATATAATAACCATGCGAATAACCAACACATTTCGTCCAAAGAAAGATAATTTCCTACTCGTGATTACCTCCTTAAGTCCAAGTTTACACAGTTGGCATGCTCCAGTTTTCTCTGCTGTGTCAATATGCTGTTTTATATTAGAATTCCCCATTTTGACATTTTTTTTTATTATTATCTTGGTTGAAAACGCGCTTGTAGATTTTGTCATAGGCTGGCCGCAGCATTAAAACACTTTGATGACAACGATTGTAATTGGTTTTGGGTGCATTCGATTATACATTGTTTTTGTAGGAAATTGCTGCATTAGCAGAGTTCTGTGTAAGAGACGTTGTAAATGAATGTCTATGATACTCTTCAGTAGTAGCTAGGTTTACTCAGAAACCAAAATCGGAATTGATTTATATATAAACGTATTTTTTTTACATCATAACTTTTACACATATGATGTAAACATTGATATCGTATTTTCCAGCTGGATGTAACATGACAACAAGACAAGTTGCAAGACATATCCTCCTGACAGGTCCCCCAGGTAACTAACACACATCCTCCCATCCTCCAAAAAGGTCCCCCAGGTAACTAACACACATCCTCCCATCCTCCCAACAGGTCCCCCAGGAAACTAACACACATCCTCCCATCCTCCAAAAAGGTCCCCCAGGTAACTAACACACATCCTCTCATCCTCCTAACAGGCCCCCCAGGTAATAAACACACATCCTCCCATCCTCCAAACAGGTCCCCCAGGTAACTAACACCCATCTTCCCATCCTCCAAACAGGTCCCCCAGGTAACTAACACACATCCTCCCATCCTCCCAACAGGTCCCCCAGGTAACTAACACTCATCTTCCCATCCTCCTAACAGGTCCCCCAGGTAATAACACCCATCCTCCTTACAGGTTTCCCAGGTCATCAAGACATATCCTACTAACAGGTTCCCGAGGTAAAGTGGACCTATCATCCTTAAACAGTCCTTCTGTTATAGAAATAGAAACATCCTCCTGTCTCCCAGGTAACAGGTAATGGAGATATATTCTCCTGGTAACATTATATGTAAAGGGTCACAACAATATACATGATACATCATCCTAACAGGTTCCCCAAAGTAAAGAAGATAAGATCATCCTAAAATGTCCTTCAGGTAAATAAGACACTTCCACCCAACAGGTAGCTATATTTGGACCTAAACTAAGGTGTTTAGAGTAATTTTACATGTTTTAGGGGTTTAGGTCAATTTTTGGAAAAAAATGCCACCCCCGTAAAATGCCATACTCTAACAAAAGGTCCCCACATTTAAGTAAAAACATCTTCCTTACAGGTCCTCAGGCCAGAAGTGATACACATCTCTCAAATATCCCCCAGATAAAGTAGATTTGTTTTCCTCAGAGATCTTCCTGGTAATATAGATATATATACTCTAAACAGGTCCCCAAAATAAAGTAGACACATCTTCTTTAACTCAATCACCACTGAAGACACGTTTGAACTCTTCCAACTCAAAGGTTGGAGCAGTTCATTATAAAATTTCAGGGGAAAATGAGTTAAAGGTCCTTCAGATAACTTAGATATAAACTCTAAGCAGGCCCCCAAGTAGACAAAGGTTCCCTAGTATATAGAAATTCTTCTTTTTATACATGTACATTGATACTCACACTACATACTAATATGATAGTCCTCAAACACTGATATTTATATTAATTCTCATTTACCATAGGAATAGGAAAAACAACTTTGATTCACAAGGTCTGTGATCATCTGACAAAATCGGGTGTGCAGTGTAAGGGGTTCTATACAGAGGAGAGGAGAGAAGGCAGACATAGAGTTGGATTTGATGTTGTCACATTGTCAGGGGAAAGGGCACCACTGGCATCGGTCAACACCAGGTAATACTTCAGGACATCATTGTGTATCACTGACTTCAGTAAAAACCAGGTCGTAATAAGGTCTAGAGTGTTTGGCATTGTTTAAACCCTGACATGCTGGCAGGCACGAGTATAACTCCCAACATCACTTGGCAACCTGTGTCAGGCCTGTAAACAGGGTCTTGATATAATTGTACAGACACAGTATTGTTTATTTCTGGGCAGCCCTAAGTAAAAAGAACACATATTGAAAGTCCATTTCCATTTCCAGTTAATGTTATATGTTTGTAAGTGAAATGAACTAAATTAAAGAGATCATTAGGTCAAAATTGATGTTGAGATAATTTAATACTGACTCTTTTGATCCAATTATCACCTAAAGTGTAAGTTCATGTGTACAGCTATATTAAATGTTTATACAATTACTTTTAAAAGAAAATCCTATACTTCGATAAATTACATATAAACCGTTAAGATGACATATTTTGAAAATTACTTTCATTGATCGACAGTTGCAGGAAAATTATGCACACTGTTCACTGTTCTATTGTTCAGAAAAACACTGCAAACTTGTATGTATAATGAAAGTTTCATTCAATAAGGATTTAACTAATTCATTCCTCAGTGATGTTCCACAGGGCAGACAGTATACTGTAGGGAAGTATGTGGTCCAGCTACAGTCCTTTGAGACAGCTGCGCTACCCACACTGAGGAAAAAGGTAGGGATGCATGATGTTGAGTTATGTCCCTTTAATTTTTGTCAGCAAGATTTCAGACAGCTCTTATTTTCATTATGGAAGAAAAGGATAATGTGGTATATAATCAGTAACTTTAGTGAAACGTTTGCTTACAATATTTCTTTATGATGTAAAAGAGTTATTTTCTTATGAATGGCTTTATGTAATTTACTAGTTCGCCTTTAAAATCATATCAATCTTCTGTGGTTTATTGAAAATGACAAGTGAACAAGACATTGATTGGAGGATATATATACTACATTTCAAAATTTGTCTAGTGCATATAATTTATCTATAAAAAAAAATCATTTGTAAACCATATATTGTTGATATCAAAAAAATGCCATGAGTACATAAAAAACCAACACAGGACTATGAAATAGAAATATAGATACAAAGATATCTGCTTATTGAAAGTTCACTTGTTTCCTTTAGAAAAAAAAAAATCTTAATCATCTGATACACAGATATTACCGTTATATATTTCAGGAAGGACAGCACAACATCTTTGTAATAGATGAGATCGGGAAGATGGAATTGTTTAGCCAGACTTTTGCGAGACTTGTTCGGGACTTATTGGGCTCGGAGAACACCACGGTGATTGCTACTATCCCTATAGCGAAGGGCAGACCGATACCCCTAGTGGAGGAGGTCCGGCAACGGTCAGATGCTGTCCTTTTTAATGTGAGTATTATAGTACCAAACCTTCTGTTAACCCATTCACCCCTAAAGTGACATTTGAACCTTACCAAATCAAAGACTGGGCAAGTCCATTTTAAATATGTAGGGGTGAATGATTTAATACAATGTATGACAAGCCAGAAGGGCCTAGTGATAAGATTTGGCTTAAACCAAAAATGTATTCTTTGCTTAAGAAAAAAAGCATGCTTTGAAGTATATCAGGTGTTTGCTAGTACAATGTTCGTGTACTTTTTTCACTTTACTGTAGAAGAAAAAGATGATAATGGAAATGCTAAAATTTGATCAAGAACAAATTCTCGAAATTTGCACATTACAAATATAATATAATATCTCCATATATGATCCTTCTGTAAATGCTTTAGACTACTCACTNGTTATTTGTTTTTGTTTATTTGTTTGTTGGATTAATTTGTTGTTTACACATAAGGGCTACACAGGTATAAATGTTAACTACAATAAAACAATTCATTTTCAAAAGAGATTAATTTAGAGGGAGAATCATTCACATATTTAACTCTTTTTTGTGAATACTAATTCCGTGGATAATTACAGGCAATACCTGTATTTGCATTTTTTCCCTCTGTATACCAAATTTGAGTACATATATTTATAAATAAAACTTCATGCATTGTTAATAAAATTTAGTGATTTACAGTATTTAACAAACAAACAAAACATATATATATTAATGTTTGTTAAATTAATGCGTATTTAGATAAATAAAAAAATATGTGAAAAAAATAACTTGTGTAAACTGAACACACACTCAAACATACCTATACAAAGAAAATGAAATTTAAACAAACTTGTGTATATCAAAATATCTTTATTTGGACCCTCCCCCTCTAGCATTTGTAAAGCTTATATAATTAGTTGTCAGTACATGAATTGATATACAGTTGAAGCAATCTCTAGAAACGTCCTTCTTTGTTTGCAGATATCCCAGTCCAACAGAGATGCTATATTGGGAGATATCATATCAGCAGTAATGAGCTCAGTAAAACGTCATGGAAGTTGATCATGTTTGTTTGTTCTGTATGTACATCGGTTATTGAGAAACACAGAGGTGACTATGTTATGGTATTGGGGCACAACGTATCTGCCAAAAAGGAAAATAAAAAAAAAAAAAAAAAAAAAAGACTAACATTACATGGAGGATATCTGTTTACACTAGAAGATGTTGAAACAAAAGTAGTCTTCCCTTGATACCGATAGATGGCACTAGTCAACAGCACAACCAGAGACCACAGATACCTGAGCATTTGTTATATTTGGACTTACACTTAGGTGTTCAGAGTAACTTTACATGTTTGAACCATAAAACTTGTAAAAGTACTCTGAAAACCTTAGTGTAGACCCAAATATAGCTGTAACCCTGTTGTACCAATGATGTCAAGACATACGTTTAGCCGGAGTTTCCTCTGGCCCTAACACCAGAGGAAACTCTGGCTACAATACTTTGTAATTGATGTGTGAGTTACGAATTTCTGTATGCCTTTAAGCTTGTAACCTTCTGAATGGGTTTTTTCTGTACATTGTATGACCTTGTGACCATTCTCTGTACAGGATGTGACTTTATGACCTTCTTCCTGTATCTCTTGTTGTCATAGAAATGTTTTCAGTAAGAGAATAGGACCTTTCAAGATTACCTTACTCAAAGTCTTTTTGTCTATTGTCTTACACTGTCCTCCGTAAACAAATCAAAGTTTTGGCTTCCCAAAACGAGCTGCACTGACGTCATTGTATAATATCGGAGGAAGTATTATGGCCATAGACTGGAGGGTAATCAAATGATAAAATAAATATGTACCATTCAATATGTATAATAAGAATGAAGAAGTGGAATAATTAAATATCACCTTGAACTTGGTTACCCTTCATAAAAGACAAACCAAAATTGCTGTTATAGGGTTCGCATCTCGAGGGACCTGAGGGGTTCGGCCAAAAATGGAAAAAATTGGCTAAAATATCAAGATCTAATTCAGACCTAAATTTCATATTCAAATTCTTTCAATGGGAAGCTGGTGTGAATGGCTTCCAAAGCTGATAAAATGGCCTTCACTTCTGTTTGTGATTTGGTATAAAACCTTTATCAATGGTAATAATTCCAAGAGAATATTGTGTAATTCCATATTCCATTATAATCAATGTTAACATCGGTACACTAAAGAAGACTTGTAAGGACTTTGTTTTCTGACGATTACCAGCTATATAATGAAAATATATGTGAGCAATGCCCCAGTCTTATCTTACTGAAAAGGTGCATTTAGCAGGAATGTAAGGTATATTCTCAAGAACCATGTCAGCGAAACTGTCTGGGTAAGAACATCGTTTTTACATAGCAGTGACTCGATGAATCTTGCAAATATACCCTTTAGTATCCTGTTGGCAATTTAATTAACTCATAACATGTTATATTTTACCTTGCTTACATATTAAATTAACTCGCCACCCTCAACAACCTGAATGTTAAATGTTTGGAACCCGGAGTGATTCCTAACACTGTGTGATTGTATGTAAACATGTACAGTATGTGTGTAATGATATTAACTTTTGAATTCATTTATCTTTTTCTTGGTTGCCAAATTTGTTTCCCTTACCCCAGTCACTGAAATATGTTATCTTATCAAACACAAGTGACCTCATAAATGTGTGAATGTAAACAACAAGTAACACGGGAACCAGAGTAAACAGTTTATTTGATACACAATGTAGTAATTTACACAAACACACCATCTAAACCTAATCCGATAAACAATGAGAAGACGTTTGTAGTCACAAGACTTGGACACTTTGACTGATGGATGTCTGGTTTGGGCAAACCAGTTTTGTGGTGTACATGAGCTAGTGGTTGCTGGGTACCCTGCAAACCTCTTATTTGTTTATATTCTCAACAGTTTTCACGAATTTCGCATTTGACACATAGAAATTGATGAATCGGTTGGAACTGTAAGAGTAAAAAGAAAAATTGGCCACATGTTGAGTAATGCGATTGAGTTTATTATTTCCGACTAGTTTGCAAGTTTCTCCCCGAAATCCAAAGGTTTCGCTATCGATATAAACCTTCTCTGCACCCCGGGAATATGTCATGACAAAATAAAAGTAAACAGTTAGCCATAAAAATAACTTCACCAGCCTGCCCTTTGAAGATTACAGAGGGGCGATACCAAAATCAAAGGCGATCAATTTTGCCGTTATGCTACCGCGCGATTTCTTCTATCTTGTATCACAAAGACCACAGTTGTGAAGGATTTTTTTTAACATTTTCCAGACTAGTTGTCTCGTAATGTCCACCCATACTGAGCCTTCAGTTTTGTCATGATACGTTATAAGGATGTAGAAAACGTATGTTCATCGAGAACAGAACTCTTTTATTTCTAATTTTGTTGGCATGGTGATAGACTACATTTATCACTCTGAGGGCCGCATTATATGGGGGCCTTAACATATAAATCATTGGATGGTAACATTTTCTGTTTTCGCCTGTAAGACTACTCTGGTTTAGTTGTGCTTTATGTTTTAAAAGGTTTATCTTAAACTTCATCTGACATTCAGAGTATATATATATATATCGCTGTGTATCCCGAGTATAGTAAGTATCAGGTGCATACGACAACCTGATAATAATAGGTCTAAATAAAACACATGTGTTTGCCATATTTCATCGTCACACATCACTGATACCCAATAACAGTTTGTCTAGAGCCGCTATCAGTTGGCTTGAACGAAATTCAGAGCATCGTGAATGAGACACAACCCGTTGAAAGGTTTACAATCAGAAGTCAATGAAACACATCGAGATAGAGTGCTGACGTACACTGTAAACTTGCCACTACCCATGCGCAAGTGGTTAAGATTGGATTGGAGTGATTTCATTTGAGTGGTGAAGAATTAAGAAAGGGCAAACTTTAAAAAAAAAAAAAAAAAAAAAAACAACAACTTTTATATCATACATTTGTAAAAACATTTACATTAAAGCCAAATGGCAAGAAGAAACAACTGATTCTATGATTAGTTATTTAAAAGCGAAAGAACGTTCATTTAAAAAAAAACCATTGTAAATAAATAAATGCATAAACATGTAAATAAATTCATAAACATAGATAAATTGGCAAGGTGGAACACCTGTTTTGATTAAATTAATGACTTGTATGATTGAGAAGCAATGGTGTGATCGATAGCTTAGGCCTTATAACTGAGGAGGAAAATCAGTTAAATAAGTATTGAAATGCTATCAATATCAATAATAAATTAATATGTATAAATGGCAAGAAGGAATAAAATAATGTCAAAGGGTTTACATTTATATATAACACACAAACGCTATAATGTATACAGTTCATTAGCGATAGAATACAAAAAAGATGAATAATAGATTTTGGATATGACCGAGTATTTTTTATTTTTTTTTAAATACATTAATTTCTAGGAGATTTACATTGAAGTCCTTCCAATGATTGCCGATGTAAGTAGTTATCCTAATAGAAAAGGTTATCTTTCACAATATGAATATTCCGACCAGTGAACCGACACACAGATTTTCAAAAATTCAAGTGGAACACATTTACCGCGTGGAATAGAAATGTCCGCTGAAAAACTTAAATGTCAAATTGTCGTTAATGTGGAAAAGGATCTCGCTGAAACCTTCAGTAAGAGTTTGATATACAATAGCTCTATACCACAACACGATTCCACAAACACAATGAACAAACAACGTACATTATTTCAAAATTGAGAGTACTCGCAACAAGTCTAAGAAAGCATCATATTTTTGTTTTAATATAGCGGATTAATATCGAAACACTTTGATATCATAATCGAAAAATATATAACCAATACTGGTATATATTCTACTGACGATAACAAGATAGGCTATACTTCTACTGTTAACCATTTAACCACTGTAAACCATAATGGACTTTTCCAGATCAATGCATGGTAGAGTTCATTAAAGTTACAAAAGGATGAAAGGGTTAAGTGTTCATTTTGTTTTTGTCTTTTTAAGAGTACACGGAATGTATTTCTGTAGAAAACAGATGCTTCCTATGGAACAACTTATAAGTATCGCCAGTACGATGAGCATGGTCGACAGGTCGGGTTCCGCGTGACTGGAGACCCCATTTTGTATGTCCTGGTGGACGGCTCGCATCTGCAGGAGTTGTGCGATAGTAGCACAAATATGGAAAATTTGGTGACTGTGGCCGACAATGTCGAACTTTCCAGGGAAAATCCTCTCTGGGATTTGCGACAAAAAGAAAAACGCCTGCGCCAAGAAGGCTGGGAATGTAATCGTTATGTGATCAAGAGAGTGAAGAGAACAGTCTGGGTCTGTAAAACACTTGATATAGCGCGGGAAGAACGGTACAAATATCAGCAATACTTCCACAAGGAGCGCTGACACTTGCAGTGCTCGCCGTTTTCTTACTGCCGGTCCACCGCTGAAACACAGTAGTGCAAAACAGAAAAATGCATGATTAAACCATGTTGAAAAGGCAAGAAGATGTAGGTAAAATGGCCTCAGAATAGAGTACATTTCCTTGTCTGAACACGAGTACATCGCCAAAATCCCTGTCCCGAATGCAAATAAAACTACTCCTATAAAATCTACCATGAAAACCAAATGATGAACATATAGATTTTTCGAATGCAGTAAATGAGCCAACGAACTCAAAAAATGTGTCAAACTAGCACATATGCCAAAAGTCAGAATTGGCCAAGAGTCTTTATCAGTCCACCAATCGTAGATCAGGAAGTACTGTCCGAGAGCGTACCAAATGACGAACATGCCAATCAAATGAGTCCATATATTCAGGGTTTCATTATGGATCTGAAACAGACTGCCGATGTAGTAACGCCATGGCTGATGGGCCAGTCTGTATCCAGTAAGGATGCCATCTTCCCGGTACTTCTCCGGCACCTCCTCTTGGTGAGTAAAGTGTCGAAGCTGAAGTGAGCGTACCCAGGACAAGGCGTTGGTCAGCATTGCCATCCTGATTGGTCAGCCTGGAACACAACCAAGGAAAATTATAATTAAATTATGGATAACTTATGGATAAAAGTAGTTGTATACAAGCTAAAAGCAAGCAGGACACATAGTTTAATGCAAAAAGAGTGATAAATTGAACCAAATATACACAAAGCCTTAATAATTCATTTATATTACATTTTACAATCATATTACCCGAGCTTGTGAACTAGTGTACATGTTAGCAAGTGAAATGTACAGGTGTGTAAACAAAACACATCAGTCTGCATTCGATGCCTGAAGTCGTTTGATCGTGTGTCAATGTCTTCCCGTGAGTTCATTTATGTCTTTGTATCATACGCTTTATTTCCAAGTAAGTCCCGATATCGGGTGTTGACATATCTACCCGGTGTAACTAATAATTTACACTACGATAATGGAATGCCCGATACGCAATACGGAAATGACGACACGAAAATACGACAAGAAAGGCATGTGCATTACGAAGGGTGAGAAGTCCTTAGCAATGCTTGATCGCCACAAAATGATGAGTCGATATGCACAAACTGTCATTGTGCTTGTTAGCATAAGAAAATAATGATCACAATTTGATTTAAAATCAGTATTATTACCTGGCTATGAGTGAGATAACACTTTTGTCAGTCCTGAGGCATAAGCTGTTGGCTGAGTGAATGACGATAAGTTTATAATATTTATAAAATGTTTGTGTTATGTAAATTGGGACAAGCGCGCTCACGATTACTGTCCGCCTGCCTAGCTAGCGAGATAAGTTATCGTTAAGATTAGCATTCTTTGAGACAACACGGAGCAACTGTTATCCGCGACATTATATGATCTTTGATAAAAATGAAGGACATATCAAAAACATACCTTTTCAGTGGGAGATAATTTACAAAATTTGAATATACATATGTATTTTTACTGCGGCTGTTTTCGGATTTTTAACGTCCATAATAAAAACACAACATACTAAAATTTGCTAGTTATAAACCGACCTACTCTACAAAAACATAAACCATATTTTACAAAAACAAATGGCGGGTATACCAGTACAAAATAAACCCCATTTTCCATTTAAAATTACCCTTCATTCTAAAGATAATCCTGATCATCTTTCCGATAAAAAAAATTTCTGGATTTCCCTGTAAAGAAAGCTGACCATTACTATTATTTAAACAATAACTGGTTATCTGGATGTAATTATTGTTGATATAATTACAAGTGGCCTCTGGCAAATTCCATAAAACCCGCTAGGATTTTATGGTAGATTTGCCAGAGGCCACTTGTAGTTATATCAACAATAATTACATCCAGACAACCAGGTATTTTTTATATTCACATATTTTTCTTTTTTAAGACATATTCCTACAAAACCCATTTGCCCTGCCTCAAAATACATTTCAGGCGGCCATTTTGTTTGTTTACATATTCCTACACCTGAAACAGGCAGTTGTAATTATAGTCGAGTAGTTGTAATTATAGCCTGTATAATTACACTTGCCCTCTAACACTGTTGTAATAGGACGGCGCGGGGGCAAATGTAAATATATATTAATTAAGCTAACCAAAGTTACTAAACGGTACATTATCCAGAACACAATACTACAAATGGTTTCCATGGTGTTTGGCTTCGTGGAATTCGTGTTCTGTGTAAAAGGCAACTCAAAGGTCTTTAATGAAATCAAATCAATGAACATTTTCTCAAAACACCATTATATCGTGATTGAAGAAATATTTGCAATAGTAAGACTGGAATTTAGAAGTTTATCATTTTGTACATTTGGGTGCGAAGATAAGAAATTCCATTTCTAAAGTATCTTAAATATATTTCAAAAGAGTGAAAATATATTATTCTAAATATATATATATAGCAATACGGGAAAATGATAAAGACATACATAAATTCCTTTAAAATATTACGAATTTGCTACATTAAGATCCAACAACATCGTTATGGTCTACCTCGAGGACTGACTGAGCACCCGCAGAGTCAACAGCTCTGTGATGCTGACAATAATATGAATACTTCACTAGAATTATGAGAGGAAGAACGCGTTTGAAAATATTGAAAAATTCGTGCAGAAAACATGTAATATGCTATGTATGCCATTGTGGTTGTCATGTGATTGTAGTAAATGTCACTGTAGTTGTCATGTAATTGTAGTTTATGCGACTGTGGTTGTCATGTGATTGTAATGTATGCCATTGTGGTTGTCATGTCATTATAGTATATGCCACTGTGGTTGTCTTGTGATTGTAATGTATGCTTCTGTGGTTGTCATGTAAATGTAATGTATGCTTCTTTGGTTGTCATGTAATTGTAATGTATGTTTCTGTGGTTGTCATGTGATTGAAATATATGCTTCTGTGGTTGTCATGTAATTGTAGTATATGCCAATATGGTTGTCATGTGATTGTAATGTATGTCATTGTGGTTGTCATGTAATTATAGTATATGCCACTGTCGTTGTCATGTAATTGTAGTATATGCCAATATGGTTGTCATGTGATTGTAATGTATGTCATTGTGGTTGTCATGTAATTATAGTATATGCCACTGTTGTTGTCATGTAATTGTAGTATATGCCAATATGGTTGTCATGTGATTGTAATGTATGCCAGTGTGGTTGTCATGTAATTATAGTATATGCCACTGTGGTTGTCTTGTGATTGTAATGTATGCTTCTGTGGTTGTCATGTAAATGTAATGTATGCTTCTTTGGTTGTCATGTAATTGTAATGTATGCCACTGTGGTTGTCGTGTAATTCTAGTTTATACTACTGTAGTTGTCATGTAATTGTAATGTATGCCACTGTGGTTGTCATGTGATTGTTATATATGCTATTGTGGTTGTCATATGATTGTAATGTATGCTTCCGTGGTTGTCATGTAATTGTAATGTATGCTTCTGTGGTTGTCATGTGATTGAAATATATGCTTTTGTGGTTGTCATGTAATTGTAGTATATGTCATTGTGGTTGTCATGTGATTGTAATGTATGCCACTGTGGTTGTCATGTGATTGTAATGTATGCCCATGTGGTTGTCATGTAATTGAAGTATATTCCACTGTGGTTGTCTTGTGATTGTAATGTATGCCACTGTGGTTGTCATGTGATTGTAATATATGCTATTGTGGTTGTCATATGATTGTAATATATGCCACTGTGGTTGTCATGTAATTGTAGTTTATACTACTGTAGTTGTCATGTAATTGTAATATATGCTATTATGGTTGTCATATGATTGTAATGTATGCTTACGTGGTTGTCATGTAATTGTAATGTATGTTTCTGTGGTTGTCATGTGATTGAAATATATGCTTCTGTGGTTGTCATGTAATTGTAGTATATGCCACTGTGGTTGTCATGTAATTGTAATGTATGCCACTGTGGTTGTCATGTGATTGTAATATATGCTATTGTGGTTGTCATATGATTGTAATGTATGCTTCCGTGGTTGTCATGTAATTGTAATGTATGCTTCTGTGGTTGTCATTTGATTGAAATATATGCTTCTGTGGTTGTCATGTAATTGTAGTATATGTCATTGTGGTTGTCATGTGATTGTTATGTATGCCAATGTGGTTGTCATGTAAGATTGAAGTATATTCCACTGTGGTTGTCACCTCATTGTAATGTATGCCACTGTGGCTGTCATGTGATTGTAATGCATGCCACTGTGGTTGTCATGTAAATGTAGTGTGTTGCTCTGATTATCATGTAATTGTAATATATGCTACTGTGGTTGTCATGTAATTGCTATGTATGCCATTGTGGTTTTCAGGTAATTGTAATGTATCAAACTGTGGTTGTCATGTAACGGTAATGTATTTGTTGTCATGTAGTGGTATTTGTATACTACTGTTTGACATGTACATGTTATGGTATTTTTAATTGTATTCTGCCGTTAACTACCTAACTCCTTTATACATATGTAGGTGTATGTAGACTATACTTTAATAAGCCCAACATTTCTGAAAATAGATTTATTTAAACGCAGTTAGGATTTTTAAGAAAGCGTAGAACCTAATACCGGAGTATCTATAATTTTTTGTAGCAAAACATATTTACACCCCATTTCTATATACTACCAGCAGTGTGAAAAGCATACACTGTACATGTATGTCTATTTTAGTGATAATTAAGCGATAAATGAAAAATCGATTTTAGCCGTCCATGCAAAGTTTTGATAATTTTCGACAGTGTGTACACATTAGCACGTAGGTTCATACTGTGATAATTCAATATTTGGCAGGATAGAGTCGAACCAGTTAAACACATGTATCTTTATCAAGGAAGTACAAATCGGACGGATACAATCGCACTTGATAGTGAAACATGTCCTTCATTACACATTCCTCTACACAACATTCTCCGAAATGCATTAAACTCTCTCTCAAATTAAACGAACGGTGGATATATGTATGTGTACCAGTAATAGTAATGTATTCCTGTGGTACACTATTCCGAATAACTTAGTTTTATCTGCGCAATATATTTTTTAAGCAGACGACATGTTGTGTATATGGTGCTTACTGATCAACTTACCTGTAGTAGTGGATCGTCTGTTTCACGTGACGTGTGTATTGTAAAATAGACTTAGTTATGATACGAACTGTCGATGAATGGTGCCTCCGTCTCCATTTTGTGCAGTGGTATCGTCTGCTCTGCCGCTCTCCTAGACTGCGTCTGCTGTATTTGAAGAACCACGGGCTTGTATCGATTGTGACGAGTCACTCTCGTAAAAGATGGCCCCGGGCAACTTGGCAAGAAAAATGAGAAGCATCGAACATTTACCAGCCCTGTCAGTGAAAATGTGATTTCACACACGTGTGTTTACGTGTGTGATCTTAATCGTATTGCACACCAGAGTCATATGTAGGTTGCTTTACACGCTCCGATGATCGTACTAAATAGGGTTTAAAGTTAAATTGTTCCTTATTTCGTTCAAGCCTAGTCACCTTGACAGATTAACCTCATAACAATAAAAATATCTGCTTTTGCAATTTTATAAAGACAAATTCACATAAATGTCCCTTTGGAATATTCTACTGTATGGACTACAAAATTAAGCACAGGTCCATCATTAATTAGACCACATGTGCAAGCATAAACGTTAACCTTAACAATACCGTCACTGTAGGAAATCAAGCTAACTAGTCTTTGTATGGCATTTGATCAGATTATATATCGTAATACACAAGTTTTTCTTGCGTATCGGGCATTCCATTCCCGGGCACATCCCTGCACCGGGTGAACAAAAATAGTGCACGTGCGTGACGATGATATGTCAACACCCGATTTCGAGACTTTACTTGGAAATGTGTAATCACGCGTATTTCAGAAATAAAGCTTATGATACAAAGACATTAATTAACTCACGGGAAAACACTGACATACGATCAGACGACTTATAAAAAATCCCCAGTTTATCGGAATGCTTAGATTTTCATAAATACATCTCTACATAGTGACATAACCATTATGTGAAAATTTCATCGAATTCTGCTGGCTAATTGCGAAAAGTAGGAATACATTCAAAATAATACACTAATAAACCGTAAGCTGAATTATCCTGTACACATAGGCCATATGTTGGAATATCAGATGAAACATTCAGCGGTTTATATCAAATCGGTCACTTCTTTGCGGGCGCTTTGCGTGTGAGTATATCATGGTACAGACGCTTACGGGAAATACACGCGATAATGATATCAGGAAAAGGGAATTAGAGCGTTTAAATATCCAGTTTGCGTTACTATATATAAAACACACCGCATATGTGAACTCGTATCAGTAAGTTTAAGTATGAGAACTTTAAGCTCCAATTCGTAAAAATGAGTTCTCAATGCAGGGTTGATTGTAAATATAATTCGTAAGTTTTTAAATCTATCAAACTTCAAGTTTTGAAGACGCTATCACGTAGTAGTTTTAAATACTTTTGTTTATTTGTTTGTTTTGTTTGGTCGTTTGTTTGATTGTATGGGGTTTAACGTAATTTCAACAGCTCTAGGATCAGATGAAGACGGGTGCCTTGAAAGACACCACTGAGAGGAGAGAGTTGGACATTGGGGAAATAAAAGACGTAGATCTCAAGTATTGAAATAGTGACAGCAAATCTGTTTTGGTTTCTTCGATATTCCCAAGAAGAATATACAGAAGAAAACCGTCGATTCTGGGGGGAGTCCCACGTTAGTCGCCTCCTTTGATAGTTTGGTTTGGTTTGGTTTAGTATTGTTAAACGTCCTATCAACAGCATTTAAGGACGGACTCCCCTGTGTGCAAGATGCATGCGTGTAGTGTATGCGTGTGTGTTTTGGGAGACTGCGATATAATAATAATAATAAACTTTATTTATTGAGGATTAAAAAAGCCTGATTTAGCCAAAGGCTAATCTCCCTCAGGGTCCTCTATGTTAGTAAAATGTGTTAATGTTTACATAGTATTTCTTAAAACATAGTAATATAAATTAAACATAAATGACATCTAAAATATAAGTTATGAGATTACTGAAAATATTACATGCAATTATATAGTACAATACATCAAATATCACAGAAAGCATAACTCATGCCTTGAAGGTCTGATAATAGTTAAATGGCCGGAGCCTTACATACATATATGCTAATATATGAAAGTATAAAAATTACCAGGATATACGCTAATATAGCATAAATTAAAAACTGTTTTCTTTATCTAAAAGTATGAATCACAGAAGTGCTTTATAGCTCTATGCTTAAAAGTGTTAAAAGACGGTGATGACCTTACATCATTTGGAAGTGCATTCCAAGTCTTACAACTTGATAAAACAAAGTGACTAGAATAGAAGGTTGTTCTGTGCTTAGGAATGTACAACACATTCTGTTCAGCCCGTCGTGTAGCTCTGGAGTGGACACTGTTTACATGTTTAAAACAAGAACATAAATATTCAGGAGCAAGTCCATGTACACATTTAAAGGTAATTACAGTCTTTCTATAATTAATATACAATTTGATAGGCATCCATTTCAACACAGAAAACATTTCTTTTGAACGAGTTTCAAATGGAACATCTAAAATTAGGCGTGCTGCACGTTTTTGTAATTTATTTAACTTGTTCATTATATTGTCAGTAGAGCCTCCCCACACTGTACAGCAGTATACAAAATGCGGAAATACACACTTACTGGCAGATACTGTTTGATACGACGGAGTAGCCCTAATCCACAACTTACCCTCTTCAGAATGAAATTTATATGTTCTGAAAACGAAAAGTGGTGGTCTAATTTTACTCCTAATTCTTTTTCAGTCTCTACCTGTTGTATTTTCTCATTTTTAAAAGCCAAATTTAGTTCATTTTCATTTAATTTACAGCGCCTCTGTTTAGTTGTTAAAACCATACATTTTGTCTTATCTACGTTGACAATCATTTTATTTTCAGAACCCCAGTCTTCCACTTTCTTTAAATCATGTTCTAATTTCGCTCTGACAAAATCAACCGTTTTACCAGAAGCAGACAGTGTAGAGTCGTCTGCGTACATGTCCGTCCTGCAAGTAGTTATCAACGGTAAATCGTTGATAAATACTAAAAACATCAAAGGACCAAGATTGAGCCCTAAGGTACCCCATGGGTTATCCTCTTGGCCTCAGATAGATTATCTGAAATAGAGATTTTTTGATAGCTATCACTTAAATAAGATTTAAACCAAGATACAGCAGTGACATCACATTGATACATTTTCAATTTTTCTATTAATACAGTATGGTTAACTAGGTCAAAAGCCTTCCTAAAATCTAGGAAGACAACACCGTTTATATTTCCATGATCAATTTCCTGTGCCCAATTATTAACAATATTTAAAAGGGCGGTTTCATATGAATGATTTTGTCGGAAACCAGATTGTGATGAGAGGAGGAGATCTTGGGTATTTAAATAATTATTAAAAGAGCTGTGAACATGCCTTTCCAATACTTTGGAAATAACAGGTAAAATAGAAATAGGTCTATAATTGGACAACTCTGAGGCCTTACCACTTTTGTGTAATGGCATGACTTTAGCGAGCTTCTTGTTTGTTGGAAATTTACCACTTTTGATGCTCATGTTCATTATGTAGATGAGTGATGGAGCAATCTTAGCTCCAGCTAATCTAAGGAGCCTTGAACTTATGTCATCTAATCCTACTGCTTTATTTAAATCAAGTGAACAAAGAAATTTTGGGTAAAATCAACAGTAATATTAGGTATACTAAAAACAGTGTCTGGTGACAGCTTTGTTTTTAGAAAGTTTGCTAGTTATCAAAGTTTGATATTTGATCACTTAAGGTAGTTGTAAGCTTTCCGGCCACTTCCGAAAAGAAATCATTAAAATAATTTGCAATTGTTTTCTTACCAAAAATTGTTTCCGCACCAACAGTTAAAACTGTAGGTGTTGATGAAGACTGTTTTCGGACAACTTCCCGAACAAATTTCCAAAGTTTCTTTGGGTTGTCTAGGTTATTTTCAACAACATGTTTATATGTGGCTTTAGCCTCTCCTATACGTTTAGTAACTTTGTTCCGTTGCAATTTGTATTGTTCATGTTCACCATTTCGTTTCAGTCTGTCTCTTATGCGTATATTGTCTGAAACGGTTTCGTCAAACCAGTCAGGTTGTTTTGACTTTTTAACTCGCCTTTCAACCATTGGTACATGGCCATCTACCACATCCACGAAAAACTTAGTCCATGTACACAATGCATCATCTACATCTGTAAATGACTCAATAGTAGACCACGGAATGTGTTCCACGTCCCTCAAAAATGTCTCATTATCAAAAATTTTAAAAGATCTGCGATATGTTCGTGTTTGTCTCCTTGTGATAGCGTTGAACTGATGCCGACTTTATAGTGCCATCTCACTGAAAAATACCGCCAAAGACTACCAGCAGGACACACCACCCGGTCACATTATACTGACAACGGGCGAACCAGTCGTCCCACTCCTAAATTGCTGAGCGTTAAGCAGGAGTAGAAACTACCATTTTTACAGACTCTGGTATGTCTCGGTCAGGGGACATAACCCAAAGCCTTCCTCACAGGGGCGAACGCTCAACTAAAGGCCAAAAGTGAGGCATTGCCAAGGGAGACATTAGGAAGAAGAAAGTTGTTTAGAAAGAAAAGATAAGATCCCAAATTAAGTCGCCTCTTATGATCATGCAATGGGGGCAGCAGATACAATTCTTACGCCCTACCTGCAGGGATTTCTTTCGATAGCATGCAGCGGTATACAACAGGCCCATTATTTCCTCCGAACATGCAAGGGCCAATTTTTAACAGAACAAAGCAATTCTGAGACTTAAGTCATCTGAAGTGATGTGTTAGTGTTTCGAGTGGCACATCAGATATACGCGCATCCTGCAATAGATCTTTTTTCATTTAATTATGATGTATTTTCCAAAAAAATAGATATTTATCAACAATTGAAAAACAAGTATTCTAGAAGGGTAAGCATCTTCTGCGTCATCGACGACACCCACCATGAACAGATATGGTCAATTTAGTGACGTACACCTACCATATAAATATTGGTCAAATATAATATCACTTCTCGCAGAGAAACATTAGGTAGTGACAAGTAAGCACAATGAACACTGATAAACAAAATAAAAACGTCGATATCCATATCGTACAAGAAAACAGTGCCATCAAATTGTATATCTGGATACATTTTTTTTAAGTTTGTCCGTCAGCATTGACATATATTACAGAAATCGTGATATTCGGAGAAGTCCATTAAGGACTTTCCACCCATCGTAATACACATGTTTTTCTTGTCGTAATTTCGTGTCGGCATTTCCGTATTGCGTATCGGGCATTTGATTACCGTAGTGTAAATTAAAGTAACACCGGGTAAACAATAGTACACGTGCACGTGCGTGACGATGATTTGTCAACACCCAATATCGAGACTTAACTTGGAAATGTGTAATCACACGTATTTCAGAAATAAAGCTTATGATACAAAGACATAAATTATCTCACGGGAAAACACTGACATACGATCAGACGACTTCAAGAATTTCGTATATGAGGCGCATGGAATGCAGACTGATGTGTTTTGTTTACCGACCTCACCTGTACGTATCATGTGCTAACAGTAGTTCTGTTGTCGAGCGAGTTACGCTCTGTCAGATAAATTGGTTCACAAATGCAATTACAATAACTCTGTGAAAATAGTGGTTTGTAAAATATCAAGATCCCTATAAAATGCAAGTGCATGTGCGTGCACGTAACAACGGCATACCATGCGATAGCCTATGGTTACATATGTACCTGACATGTTGATATACCATGCGTAAGCGGGCTATGGAATGATGTACAAAGTGTACATGATTGAGAGTAATTTTGTTCCATAAAAGAACAGTAAATTGACAATTGAATATCGTAATTTAATTTCTTTCCGTCGTTTTTGGTATAGTAAAGAAAATAAGTGTCATTGTATAAATTCTATCCTTCTGCAAAAAGTTCTGGGTTTTTTCAAGGTAGACAACTCGCATCAGGATCAAAATTATTGTAAAATGTAAAATAAATTAATTATAAAGACTTTGTGTGTATTTGGTTCAAATTTTCAGTCTTTTTGTATGAAACTCTGTGTCCTGTTTGCTTTTAGCTTGTATTTAGTAACTGTTATCCATACAATTTCAATAAAAAAAACGCTTTTTGTAACATGTTGTAGATATTTTATGATAAATAAAATATTTGTAGGGTTGATTAGCAATGTTTCTTTTCAATATTTTGTTGTTGCAATAGTTTTGAACAATGCCACACGCTCAAAAAATGTGAAAGTGTGGAATTTGACAAAAAATCAATTTTTCGGTATTTTTTACCAAAAAATCCCCAGTTTATCGGAATGCTTAGATTTTCAAAAAATCATCTCTACATAGTGACATAACCATTATGTGAAACTTTCATTGAATTCTGCTGGCTAATTGCGAAAGGGTGGAGCCTCCTTAATATCTTTTCAACTGAATCCACTACGACACGTCAACACCAACTTGAGGCTTTAGCTATCAAGAAAGAAAGAAAAAAATATTCAAAATTTTCAGTCCCATATCGGCTGACGATATGACACCTGATGTCATTAAATTTACATTCCTGTCAGAGAAGAATATCTACCGGCAAAACATTGGGAAAAACCGGCTTCTGTCAACGCATCACGAAAATATACATTTTTGTATAATAACTTCTATGATGTTTTCCCAAACCCGTTTAACTTTAAAGTATAGTTTTGATTTAAAGCTTTTTTCTGCTGCACTTTTTTCAATTGTTACGGACAAAAATTAACTAGAAAACTTATTGCATTTATCGTTGAATGCGTAATGCCATTGACGATTTCACCAAATTCCCAGGTAGGTGGGAGAAAGAGAAAATAATTTTAAGGTATGTAGGATAGAGACAATCTACCTCCGGATTCCTAAATCCCACATATCTACGTATGATATATTCTATTTATAACACTGACTCAACGATAACAAAACTAAACAACCTAATAATTTCGCTGAATGCTTATGTCATATCGTTATGTTTACATGATACGTCATATCATTATGCAGGGTATCTTATCTAATTTTTTGTCGTGAATGATTGTATTTTATCTAGAGTATAACATAGGTAAGCAATGAATTATAGCTATCTCGAAGTGTGCAGGTTATTAATGTAAAACTCTTCACAATGGAAACACGCTATTGTTGTTACCTCTTGTTTTCTTTTGTTTTACACATTGTCAGCTCTATCCCGTCGTCAGCATTTTATCCCTTTGGATCGTCCGTGAATGACCATTCTTTTCCAAAGAATGATGACGGAAGCTCGCCAATGGTCAAAATCAGTACTTTTTTCCCGTTTTTCAACAGCCAGCACGACTCATTATTTGTAAGTATGTTTGAGGGGTGAGTAGGATCAATATTGTTACTACCCTGTCGGGAGAGTATGGTCAATGACTAAACCTCCTGTGAGGAAATGCTTAGCTTGGGTGAGCAATGGTCGATACTCTTACCACCCTATCGGGAATAATTAACGTCGGATGAGTATGGTCAATGTCTTAGCACCCTGTATAGGAAATGCATAACGTGGGAAAATAATGATCAATACGTTCGTACCTCATTCTATGGAATCACGATAAACGCTATGAGTGTGGTTTATGTTTAACATCTATGAGGAAATACCATGTTCGCCATGAGTGTAGTGTAAGTTTAACCTTTATGACGAATCTCGATGTACGCCATAAGTATGGTCTATGTTTAACCTTTATGACAAATCTCGATGTACGCCATGAGTGGGTCTATGTTTAACCTTTATGACGAATCTCGATGTACGCCATGAGTATTGTCTATGTTTAACCATTATGACAAATCTCGATGTACGCCATGAGTGAGTCTATGTTTAACCTTTATGACGAATCTCGATGTACGCCATGAGAATTGTGTATGTTTAACCTCTTACAGGAATCACAATTTACACCATGAGTGGGTCTATGTTAAACCTCTAACAGGATTCACGATGTTTGCCATGAATGTATAGTTAGTTTAACCTCTAACATGAATCACAATGTACGCCATGAGCGGGTCTATGAATCACAATGTACGACATGAGTGGGTCTATGTTTAACCTTTAACAGAAATCACGATGTACGCCATGAGTGGGTCTATGTCTAACCTCTAACATGAATCACAATGTACGCCATGAGGGGGTCTATGTCTAGCCTCTAACATGAATCACAATGTACTCCATGAGCGGGTCTATGAATCACAATGTACGCCATTAGTGGGTCTATGTTTAACCTCAAACGGGAATCACAATGTAAGCCATGAGTGGGGTCTATGTTTAACCTCAAACAGGGATCACAATGTACGCCATGAGTGGGTATATGTTTAACCTCAAACAGGAATGACAATGTAAGCCATGAGTGGGTCGATGTTATACCTCAAACAGGATTCACAATGTAAGCCATGAGTGTGGTCTATGTTTAACCTCAAACAGGGATCACAATGTACGCCATGAGTGGGACTATGTTTAACCTTTATGACGAATCTCGATGTTCGCCATGAGTATGGTCTATGTTTAACCATTATGACAAATCTCGATGTACGCTATGAGGGAGTCCATGTTTAACCTTTATGACGAATCTCGATGTTCGCCATGAGTATGGTCTATGTTTAACCTTTATGACAAATCTCGATGTACGCTATGAGGGAGTCCATGTTTAACCTTTATGACGAATCTCGATGTACGCCATGAGTGGGTCTATGAATCACAATGTACGCCATGAGTGGGTCTATGTTTAACCTCAAACAGGAATCACAATGTAAGCCATGAGTGGGTCGATGTTATACCTCAAACAGGAATCACAATGTAAGCCATGAGTGTGGTCTATGTTTAACCTCAAACAGGAATCACAATGTACGCCATGAGTGGGTCTATGTTTAACCTCAAACAGGAATCGCAATGTAAGCCATGAGTGTGGTCTATGTGTAACCTCAAACAGGAATCACAATGTACGCCATGAGTGGATTTTTGACATTAAATGTAATATCAACAACAGTGTTCTGAGAGAAAAATCACCGCGGGGCTAGACACGAATTCGAACTATGAACTTCAAACAGCTAAACTATCGCTTTGGCCGATTAAGCTATCTGGTAGACGAAAATATTCTTGCCCAATTGTTCTACAACAATATCCAAAGATAAAAGGAAACTCAGTGCAGTGGGACAGGGATTCTTAAGTATTTTGTGTGAGGTGAGTGTATGACTTGTCCACCTTTATCATGTTTAACCTCGGAGAAACAAAGAATCGCGTCCCTCTACAGTAAGGGCAATACATGTATATTGTTATACCTAATACCATATAATAAAAGATATCTTTGTGTGGGACGATTTTGTTGTTAATACTTTGTAAGGTGGTATGATCAACACCAACACCTACAATCTACATCATGGTAATACTTCAATATCAGTTAGGTTTTCATGTAAAAGACGTATGATTCAGCATACGTCATGCCTCATACATTGTATAGATGTAAATAAAGTTGTTTGATGTACGACCAATGGAACGGTCAATCCTAAAATTATTTTTAAATCACTCTTGCAAGGCTGCAAATGAAAAGAAATATCCGGTCTCTATCTTTTTTAATCATGATGTAATGTGTCCATATTTATCTTAGTCAAGTACCCAAAATAAAATAAGACACCAATATTAATACCAACGACACCAATCTGACATTCGAAGAAGTACCTTGTGTATCTAAATATACTTACAATTTATTCACCATCTCCTTTTATGTTTTGCAGGTTAATACAAATGGCGCCATATCTTTTCAAAAAACACTAAGCCAGTTCACGCCGGCTCCTTTTCCACTCCAAGATCACCGCAGTATTGTGGCCCCCTTTTGGGCTGACGTGGACATACGAAATGGTGGAACAGTGTGGTATCGGGAAACTACTGATCCCGCCATCCTACAGCGGGCGACGGACGAAATCCGCCTCTACAATCCAGACCAGTCTGATTTCCATGCCAGCTGGGTATTTGTATCTACATGGGACAATGTAGCTTTCTACGGAGCGTCGACAATTGGCAAAACCAAGGTATATGGATATACTTTTTCGTCCACCCTCATCAGATAGTGGCTGTTCAAATCACCCTTCGTATACCGGTAGTCCTTATGATAGGATTCTTGTAACACAACCAATAAGTGTTTCTATGTGACGTTTCGATGACTAGTACGGTATGTACTCTGTCATCTTCATCAGACAAATGACCAGTGAAGCGTATGTACACAAAGGTGTAAAATATGTACGAGTCCACACATCAATGTCAAAACGTCACATAGAAACACTTAATGGCTGTGTCACAAGAATCATTTCATTATCCATACTTACCAACACGAAAATGTTAAGAGACGTTAGTCCCTAATTACGCATATCGAGCAAGTCAATATGGTAGACAGGTAGCCAGCTAACATTTTGAGAGTTAAAGTTCGGGTTTTTTCTGTTTCTCAGAAAGTACTTCAGGGATCTTTTTCAAATTTCACGTGAAGATTTCCTATGGTCACCAGTTTCGCAGAATTAAATCTTGGGACGGATCGGAAAACCAAGATGGCCAACAGGGTAATTTTCACATGGTCCCTTATTTGATATTTGGGACTGATCAGAAAAACGAGATGCCACCAGACAGTTTTGTTGAATTTTGATCGTTGGATTTTGTTCAAGCTATTTCTCAAGACGTACTGGACATATCTTTCTAAAATGTCATAATCTGATTTTCAAAGGTCCTAAGTTCTGCATGTTTATTTTTGAGACTGATTGGGAAAAAAACAGACACGGTCGCCTTGCAGCCATATTTGATTTCGACTGTTCCAGGTCGTTATCACTATTTACAAAGAAGTGCTAGACAGATCTTTCTCAAATTTCAGAGCAAGGTTCTTCTTCTCACACATTAAGTACTGTGCGAGTAAATAGGTCTAACGACAACCTCACATTAGAGCAATGTCATACACAGCAGTATGAACTTTTACCAAAAGGGGCATTTACAATTTGCATGACTCAGTCTTACAGATAAAAGGTGAGAAATTATCAACCTTGCATAGAACTCACGAAAGGAGATATACACGATCTCTAATAATAGCATGTTTATGGTCCGAAGAATTAAATTCGTTGCAAAATCCAAGATTCGAACTACATACATGTACAATACAAATGGAATTACAATAATATTCGTTCTCCATGGTTCCACATCCATTTCCATGTTAAATATATTTATGGTCTTCTTTTATCAATTGAACATTCCAAATGCTCGCATTTGGTTCTGTATATCTTAATGTGAAAACGAGTATCCTTCTTTTACTTTACAGAGAAACACGTTTCAGTGTGTACTCATTACAAATGGCCGTCACTCTTTCACAGTGCTTAACTACGCTAAAGTCACGTGGACCACGGGAACTGCCAGTAATGGTAACGCTGACACGGGACTTGGAGGAACACCGGCCCAGGTATTAAAGCACTGTATTACATAACAAAAGGATGAATTGTATCAGCAGGAACGATATCTTGTTGTATCTACTTTTTCGGCGAAGATTGCTATCAACCTCTTCAAAGTCTTCTTAAAATGTTTTCGATATCAGCCGAGTTTTCCGGTTTTTCTGAAATGCTAAATTAAATATCAACGTGCATTCTAAAATCTTCGCTAAATAACATTAACAATTTTGTCGAAAAACTGGCAAATATCTCAATTTACATCCAAAGAGAATATTGCACAAATTGAAGTTTAAAGTACTATTCCACACATGTTCTTACCGTATATAATTATGGGAAGCACCATGCTACTCCCAGTCGCTGCTTAGAAATATTAACATCAATCAAGAATACGTCATGAAGCCCAACAAAGACGGAATAAAACCGAGTGTTCCGAAAGGGAAAGCGTTTCGTATACCTCATGTGGTGCCTGTCATATGGTTCCCCCATCACATCCACTATAGAAAGAAGGAATCATTGATCAAAGAATCAGGGACCAGGTCTTTAGTTATGATTGGCACTGATATACCATTGTTGGAAGTCAGGCGCTATACTTTCTTCATCATCAGATAAAGTATAGCCGGAAGATGTCATATTTTGTTCAAATGAACTCTGTCTGAAAAGAAGATTGTTTTTTTACAAGGATTGATAAGTTTGAGTTTTACTATTGTAAAATTTGTTACAGGTTGGTTTTAACGGAGGTGACGGCGTAAATTTCTACGCATTAGACGAATCCCGTACGTCAGCTATTGTCAACCTTGCCCATTTGTCTAATGTGAAAAACGGTGGTAAATTCGTATTCCGGATTGACACGGCTAAAATTGAAAAAGGCGGATGTAATACTGGAGGTAAGATGGACAGCGATGTGTAAACACAGGAAAAGCTCTCAACAAATGTACATTTTGAAAAGTGCAATAATATTATTAATATTACAGAAAAAAAACTTTTTCATGTAAAGATATTGGATTGTTTTCATTTTCAATTGCGTGTTAAACATTTTTATCATGCTAAATGTATTCGTTTTCTGATAAACAGTTCGGGGTACTATTTTTTACTTTTTTTCATTTTTTATTTTTTTATTTATGCTCTGTAAAACCCAATCGCTCAGTTAGATATTTTTACAACTTTTTCAAACGATGCATATACTTATACTTAGGTACGTTCATGTTCTCCCGAATAATTTTCTTGTGCCCAATCGCAAAAATAAGTCGTCTTAAACGAGCAACAGTAATAATATGTAACAGTAGTTTAAAAATGAAATCATTTGCAGGCACCCTGGTAGTGTACCCCTTCCAAGTCACAATGTTTGGGAGCCAGGAGATCACGGTATCAGGTCCCTGTTTTACCGCCAATGACACGGTGTGGATCACCTTCCCAAACAATGACAGTCAACCATGCGTGAGGAAGTCAGAGTTCAGCGCGAGATGTCGCACACCCACTTTTTACGTCACCGGGACAATCGATATGTCAATGCATATCACTACGGCAGACGGCCATATGTCTAGTTACAGAGGATTTTGCTCGGTCGGTAAGTGTAAGGATTTCGGAATACCTTGTTTGACTTCTAAGAAAGCAGTCACCTGATTTGATGGCTGTTATCTATTTTTAACATGATTACAAATGTACATTTAAGGTATGCGTCGTCTGTTGCTATGCGCTGTCCATTAAGTTTTCCATTTTTTCTCAACTTCGAGTGTTAAGATATCTTTTTTATATAATTTCTGAACACTGCGATGATGTAGATCATTGTTATTTCTTAACTAGGCCTGTCTTAATTCATGTAGTATGTATTAAAATAAAGGGGGTTTATTCTTTGGGTTGTTTCAAACTTTAAGATGGTGGCGATGGTAACCCTGAAAATTACTAGAAAATGTCCATGGGTAAATAATACTCGGTAAGTGTTGTTATTTCTGGGTCAGCTCGGAAATCTAAAATGGTCGACATATGGGCTATGTAAATGTTATTAATAACACATTTCAATCTACTTCCAATGTTCTACTTGTTTGCTTAAGTCAAATGTTAATATGAATAACCAGGAACAAAAGCCAATCAAAAAATAAAGGTCTTTTCCTTTTTACGTTTTTTAACTATCAACATTTCGAATTTCTCCTCAAGGATTTACTCTAGACAGAACAAGATGTATCGGTGACGCTGACTACTGTACATGTTATTTTTTCCTTTTATTCAAATCTCAATCGTCCGTGAAATGACCACGATAAGTACCTCTCAAATCCAAATTCAACATGGCTCCTTTGCAAATGTCTTGAACCATGTTGGATAATATTTCGTTTCCTGGCAACTACATCCATTTTTAAACATCTCAAATGTTACCAGAGGGATTTAGTAATAGGTCCCCATGTAACTAAAGGGTGTATAATGGAACGTTGTGCTCACTGTTAGACTCTTTGAGTGACTCGAATCTTATAATGTTATACTAAGTTTTAAAATGATTCCATTGTTACAATGACTCCATTATTCTAATGACTGCGCTGATGAAATAACTTTGTTAAATTGACTCCATTTTTATCACGCACCGTTGTTTTAGTGAATCCCTTGCAGAGCGAACCTGGTTTGGTTCGAGTCTTCGTTGGTGACTGGGCCCGTGGAAAAACCGTGACCGTTAACTGGCGTCCCGATAGTTTGTTGTTTACAGAAAGTCGAGCCAATATAGATGTTTACACCATTGAGGTACAACTCTAATCCTTTACTTTATATATTGTGTCATGTGTTATATTAGCATTGTGTTTCGCAATTTTACTGTGTTAATTTGATTACAGAAAAGTTTGATAATTCCATTTTTTAATTCCGTATATAACACTATATTTTCGTTCTAGGTAGTATAAGCACGCCAGCCTTAGAGTTGACACAAAACAAAACATGCAATAACAGAAACCGTGGAAACATTGGAGAAACTTAAACAAAACAAAAGACATCGGTTAGCCACACACATTGTAACCAGGAGCAATACAAGGTGTTCCGACCGGGTGGAACTACGTTTCTAGACCCTACTTTTAAATTATCAGATACACTGAATATCATATTTTTATCTTCAATTCGTAGAAATGTGTATGGTACTTTATCCATATTTCATTGTGTTCCAATCAGGTGGAACTACTTTTCTAGCACCTGCCTTGTAATTATCCCATAAACAGAACAATATCTTATTATCTTAAATTTGTAGAAATGTACGATACTTTATCCATATTTCATTGACGTTTGTATTTTGTGCAGCCAAACGACGCCGGCCTGCCTCGATTCATCTTTGAGAAAACGTTGGCTAACTCTGTTATCATCAGACAGGCCAGAGCTTCATTTTTATTTGATGTAGAAACCAATGTTGTAGTTCTCAAAATGACTGAAACTGGACAAAAGAATGAGACGTAAGTAATCGCAACATCAATTACTGTTATTACTGAAGCATATTTCAGTGACGAAACGTTTAAGCTACATTTTAGCAAAAAAAGGTGACACTTGAAAGTGAAAGGACGAATGGATCCCATTGTGAAATAGCTTATATAGGATATGTATTAAATCTCATTCACATGTGTACAACATTGAATCAAAACTGGTCTAATTAGACAGGATAGGCCTCGAACATGTCATTTGTCTGATAAAGGTGACAGTGTACATATCGTACTAGTCATCGAAACGTCACATAGAAAATGTTATCGGTTGTGTAAAAAGAACTTTTCATAATCCATACTTACCAACCTGAAGAAAATGTTTCGAAATGTATGATTATAAATTATAAACTCTTTTTTACACCAGGCAACACAAATGGCAATTCACATATCAAATCAAGACGGGAAATCTTCACTTTCAGTTATCTTTTTCATAAATGCGCAGCTGTTATCACTTCATAGATTTCCTTTAAAATCAAATATTCAGTTACGGGAATTCCTTAAAGGATATTTTAACTATCGCTCGCGCGGTAGACATACTTGAAAAATATATTAATTATTATTATGCTATCGTTAACAGAAAATTACGTCACAGTGCTTGGTCAGACGCGTTTGTTGTCAAGCCAAATCTGAATAGCGTGAAGGGACACGAAGAAGCCAAAGACACATGCCGCAGACAAATGGTCTCGGACGACAAATTACCTTCTTTGACAGACCTAAATATCCAACCATGTCCATGTATGGAGGATCAAATTGAGATAGACCTCGCCAGGTTTCGCCCCGACCCTCTTTGTAACAACCAGCTTTCGGAAAATCTAGACTTTCGAACCTCTCGGAACTGCCAGCAAGCCGAGGCCAAGCAGTGCTACAGACTCAACGCTCCAGGGTAAGTTATTTACGTACCCTCTTCGATAGTAGTAATCAAGAATATATTACATCACAAAGGTTTGTGAACTCTTCTGATAAAAGATGTGTGGCATGCAACATGGAAACGGTTCGACTTGATTTCAAGTATGTCAACGTTCCATGCTCGCTGATCTATCAAAGATTCGGCAAGCAAAGATTTACTGTAAATTTCAAGTAGCTTAATAATTTAAGTAACAAAGATAAACTCCCTCCTACCAACCTATTTTATAATTAAAACTTGGAATATGTTAAAATAAAATACTTGAAGCGTCAATTGGCTTACAATAGGGTCAGCTATCATTATAACATTTATTAGTTCCAAACAGCTAGCATAAGATATTGACATAATGTACATTGTATTTAGAATATTGCATCCTGAATCATTTACAATTAGTTTTAATTGTCTTTACCATGCGACTCTGTTTTAATTGTCTTTACCATGTGACTGTTTTAAGACCCAACGGTTCCGGTCGCCTGTGCTGCTACGATTACCTTGGTAACCTAATGGATGCCAAGACTCCGTCCGGAGGAGGTACTGCACACCGATATCACTACCTTGGGGGGCCTGGAAATGTACCTTACCTTTCAACACTGGTATTCGATACGTTCCCTTACTTCTACTGCTGTAAATACGCAAAGGAGATTGCAGGAATGTCCATGTGTACCCAGCTTCTCCGACAGCGACCCCAGGGGGACTGTAGGAATTATCAACCAATCAGATCAGGTAAATACCATTAAAATCACAATGAAAATTATCAGATTAAAATAGATTTAATATGTTAAACTAATAAACTTTGTATCAATTTATGAACACAACTGTCTCGAAAGATTAATTACAGCAAAATATGTTTAAAAGAAACTATTACTTTATATCTTCTGTGCATACAATGCATACCATAAAAAAAAGAATGGTCATCGATTACTTTACTTTCAAGGAATATCCAAACAGTACATGGCTACAAAAAGAACCTCTTCCCTTCAGAAACAAAAGGTGATGCTTTATATTACAAGCAGCATCAGATTCGTAATACATTAAGAAGTAATAGTGTTAAGTTTATGCAATGAACATAAATATGGATTGTGATACTCGTTGTTGCTCTTTCATTATTAGCGCGACTGAGTGGCGATCCCCATTTTACGACGCTTGATGGCTTACCATATACGTTCAACGGTGTTGGAGAATTCATACTGCTGAAACATATTAACGATACATTCTCTGCTCAGGTCCGAATGGAGCAAGTTGCTGGTCCCAATGGTAATCATATATATCGAGCTGCTCGTTCCTTATGTGTAACTGTAATCTTGTCCTGTTTCACGGGAGAAATATTGTCTCCAATGTCTATGGAATATTTAGTCAGATGCCTTTATATATTTGTGATTGTTCCTTCAATCATAAAAAACCACCATTTATATCGTCCAAATGTTGTAGAATAGATAGTTGAATGATGAAGCGTACCTCGCAAAATATGGTTTACTATCAGAATGAGCAGTAAGCAGAATGGTGTATACACCTAGCAGATTGAGAATATTGTGATACATAGATGTATCAAAATGTTGTAGTACACCTGATGATAGGTTAAAGCACAATTATCAGAACGTTGTAGTTATGGATTTTCTTTATCAACCACAGGTGTTTTACGTAAGGCGAGTGTGATAACCGCTTTCTCGGCGAAAACACTTAACGTGTCCGATACTGTTGAGGTCCGCCTGAACTCGATCAGGGTAGCAGATGTTCTGGTGAATGGTGAAATTGTGGACTTCACTCATTATAGATCTCTCCATTTCATTGGTATGTATACATTTCCTTTCTTCTCAGAATGCACCTTTCTCCACTCATGTACTTGTTAACTGATTACATTATGTACAATATTGTTTTTACACTAACCACCTTTTTTCTTGGATATTGAGAATTAAAACCTATCAGATACTGACAAAGAAATAAATAATATTAAACTATTCAATAGCTGTAGGCCTTTATTATTGATATTTTGATTGAATGTATGTATATACTTTGTTTTCTTGATTTAACGTGAACAAAATACAAACTTTATAAGGTTCGAGGATATTTATAATATATATTTCTTTCCGAGGTGTTTCAACAACGATGACAGAACACAATAGCACAGACGGGTCATCCAAACAGATCAACATTATTTTTACTGATCCCAGCCTGGCGTTTCGCATACTAGCATATCCTTCCCTACTCAATGTCGTCGTAGTGTCGGGGTCCGACAGCTTACGAGGTACATACTGTTAACGCTATCTTTTTCGGGCAGTCGTATTTCCGCGGCTCCACCACATTTCTCAAATTACATGCAACGTGATTTAGTGTGTTATATATTTGTGCAGAATTACAGCGCTTTTGCATTTGGCGGTTATAATTATTTAGACCTTCTAATAACAGCTAATAACGCTAAAACAAGTAAGTTTATTGTATAATGTTTCTTATTTATCAAGTCTTGATTATTTAGCGCGTCAGCAATTCAATTCAATACATAATTTCATGACATTAGATAATAATTTGATACAGCAAAATTTCATAAATATTTGAATAAAACTAATTCCGGAAGTAAATACACATATATGTTATTGGAAAGTGGCGTAACATTTAAACTCATGGTACGTCACTGTAATATACAGTGCACAGAGATCGCGATATACAAATGTATGAGTAAATATAATCATAAGACATTGGGGTGATATATTATTACCAATAGATATAATTACAGAGTTCAGTATGGTTTCTTGATATCATTTTGTCTGATACAAAAATAAATGAACATATTCCATTTACTTTATAACGAAAGGAATAATAAACTAGGGCAAGCTGTCTTTCAATGGTTACAGAAAGAGAATACATAGCATAGACTTAGACTGTTGTTGTGTAAATGTAGATAAGTGATCCATTCACCTTCGTAGAAATATTGTGCTGGTGACTCAATGAAGTCAGGAAATTTTGGTAACACACACTACGTTGTATTCGTATTTCCCGAAGATCGGTAGAAAAATCGACATTATTTGGTATAATGATATTTTATTGGGGTTCTAGGAAATATCACAGGACTTCTGGGGAACTACAACGACAACGCGACGGATGACTTCACTACAGGAGATGGCCGTATTCTCTCCCCCAACACCACAGCGAGGGAGATACATCGGGAGTTTGGGTCGACATGTACATTTCCTAAGTTGTTGTCTTAACGGGACATTTTTAAGTGTGGAGGGGGTCTGAATAACTATCGATCTTTTAACAAGAATTTCATCAGTTTTGGTTTCGAATATATAATTCGCTGCCTTGTGTTAAACCTTATTCACTTGTTTAATTATTGCTACTAAACTGTAATATCAATCCAATTATTTTCAAAATATTGTTTGAATAGTCTTTAAGCTCCTGTCATTACATGTCCTTGCGCAGAAGCATCTCTGAACAATGCCCTACCACATTAGTCTATGAGCTGTAGGTGTTACACAATGTCCTTACATTTTAATATTTCTGTAATATAGGTTTTGGTAGGTACGCAATGTCCTTAGAATATCAAAGCGTACAAAACGTAAATCGAACTCAATACTAAGACAAAATGTGAAATAAGATTTGACCATTTAGAAAGGCACAAGCAGAATACGACAATAAAAGTGTAAGCTTATTTCCTTCTACGACGACACCTGCCATGTAAATCCATGTCAAATCAAGCGAAAGCACGTTCCCAAAGAGAGAACAGATATAATAGCAAGAAACAATCAGCAGAGTTATTGAGATTTTGCAACACGCCGTCATTTTACGATCTTCTCGGTGCATTAATCAGAAATGTTTTCTTCTTATTTTACTATTGCTCTATTTGATAGGACAATTACAAAAAGGCCCTATTCATATATCACTTGATTGGATGGCATCAGTATATAACGAAGGTTAACCAATAAGGCTTTCCTTCCCAAGCTTTTTTTCTATATGCCATGCGACGAAAGTTCAGTACTGGTATTCATATAAATAAAACAGAAATCGTTCAAATCTATGCGCTGGTTCTGCTTTCCTTTGGAATCATTTTAAATATCGTTCGATGAATTTTAAATAGCGCATTCATTAATATAATCTTTTCTACACGTTTTCAGGGAGAGTTCGCAGACAAGATTCTCTGTTCACTTACCCCATTGGTAAGAACTACACGACATTCCAGGATGTAGCGTTCACTCCTGTTTTTCCGGAGCCCAATCAAACGTTCACACCGGAGGCTCGGAATATCTGTGGTGATGACGTATTTTGTCTTTACGATTACCACACCACCGGGCGGGCGGATATCGCGGTAGCAACAAGGGCGGCTACTCAGATATTCGAGAGCATACAAAGACAAGCGGAACCAGGTTTGTATGGTATTGGATAACAAGTAGTTCCTGAAATACAAAGTAAAAGCTGTAACATTTTGAACCGATCTATATGTTTTGTATGTGATAACCATGTGGTAGATGAACATAATATACATACTCGTCATCGCACCTTTGAAGTTCGGTTATATGTACAGCATCCCGAAAAAATAAACTACGGTGAACAGTAACTTAAAAGTCAGCATTATTTGGATACACCATCGGTTATAGCGTTCTATAATTTTGTTTACACATTCAATGCATGTGATAAGACCGTTATGAGATATTAATTACCTTTATTTCTTGTGTATTACCCACGGGTTTTGCGTTTGTTTACCTTGAAAAATGCTTTCTGTTGGCTTTCTGATGAAGCGGGCAATGTGACGAAATCAAAAGCAATAAACAGTGGGGGCTATACGAGATATTGAAATCCTAAAATCTACATTTATAAACAAAAACGAAACAAAAAAAAGATTTGATCAAGATCAAAAACACGGGATTTCCAACAAGAAAAAGTGCATACCAAAGGTTTTTGTGACATCAGTTCTGTTATTTGGACACAGCAGCACCACACCCCAGTACACACAGTGATAGTCTGGTGATTGAAAGCACTGTTATTTGGACACAGAACACCAAACCCCCCAGTACACATCATAATGGTCCTTCAGGCAACCTAGCCGAATGATGCACAGTGACTCTGTGTATTGTAGACTAACTGGTCACCGAAACAAGCCTGGTTAGCTTCACCATTTTATAAAATATAAACAGAATACTTTTACATATTAAAACAGAAGCTATGAAAATATTTCAGTAATATATTATGAATTATCATGATGAATGTCTTTGGATATTATTGCATGAAAATAGAAAACAAACATTTAAACATACAGTGAGTAAATTGTTCCTGAACATATTGAAGCTGAATATTATGTCTAGTAAGTTTGGAATCTATAGGACCACAGTAAGGTCTGTTAGAGTTATTGCCCTTTGTACAGTAGAAAGAAATCATTTTCCATTCTACCAACATTTGTCATTTTTAGCGATATTTTGTTGACATGAATCATGTTGCATTGACCTTGAAACTTAATGAATGTCTTTAGTAGGATACATTCTATAAAATGAGGAGTAAAATTATTTTGTTTGATGAATTTTGAAATTATCATTTTTTTGATCATTAGACCACTGTGACCTTGAATAAACGTCAAGGTCAACGAACTTAACTCTGTATTTTGCCAAACATATATGCTATAAATGTGCCAAATATCAACTCTTTATGTTTCATAGTTACGCAGAAGAAAAGTTTTTTAGTGCAATATTTTGAATTTTGAACTTTGGCGGGAAAATGAACATATTTCAAAGTAGCATTTCTTTGAAACGTTCAACATACCATCCTTAGGTCGTGCTCCTTAAAATGTGATAAAGATTTTACTATTTTTAGTATTTTTATTTTTGACCTATATATGACCCAATATTGAGGCCTTGAATTTGACATATTCTCTGATAATATGTCATTGAAAAAAGTTAGCACCGACGAAGATCTAACAGAAGTATGAAGCGTTCAAGCAGTACAACGAAAGCTTTCGAAGTTACGGTTGTTCGAAAAATGTTTTAAACAACTCTATTTTTAGATCTGTGACATTGACATTTGACATTATGATAATGAATTTGTTCGCCTACCATGTGTTCGTTGTTCTCTAATACATACTGAAATATGAACGTTATATCTTTATTCGTTCTTGAGATGGAGTGTCCACAAGATATTTTGAAATAGGAATAAGAAATTTTAAGAAAACACATTACAATATCAATAGGGATTTCCATCCGAAATGGAAATCCCTAACTAGTTTTAATATCGAACGTATACATGTTACCGGTACTTTATTATGTCGTCTATGTGGAGTACTCACTTGAAATTGCTGCCTGGCTTACCGTTCTTAGAACTTTTAATATTTAGAATACAAATTCGGTTCTAGTATTGATCCTTTATATTCTCAAGTTAATTTTTAAGCAATTTAGTTGTGTATGTAAGTCCGTCCATGCTTCAGAATCTGTTGCGTATCAGTAACACGTATATAGTTTCACACTCAATTCGTGTTATTGTAATTTCGTTATAGTTATTGCGTGTAACCACCCCCTTGATGTCGCATATGGATACTGGAATAGTACCGGTCTGGTCGTGAACTCAACTGCTGTCCTCGTTTGTGACGGAGGAAGACGACCTTACAGTTCTGACGTCATATCCTGTACAGTAGACGGTACATGGGAACACAGCAATGATGCATGCATAGAAAGTACGATTGAAAATTACTCCATTAACATGAAGAGTTTACTTGGATATTCATTTGAAGATTGAATCTTTAATCTCGATCTAATAGAGTGATGGATTGAGTTGGTCTTGAGACAAAGCAGTTCATGTTGAATTTGCCTCAACACCAACACAATTCATCACCCAAGATATCGAACAAAGCAAGATTTCATTTTTGTATTTCAATTTTCATGTGTTTTTCAATAAATAAAATTCTAAATAGTTTGTCGCTGATACTTGAGCTTGTGGAAGTCTATGTAAAAATGTATAGGATAAACTTAGAGTTATCCGAGTATTCGAGTTATGCGGGTTCATAAATTTTGTATGAAATTTGCTGTTTGGACATAGCACTAGCAGTTGTTTATTTTATTTATTAATAGCCAATGCATGTAATCAATCGATGAATGATAAACGTAATCAATATAACAAATACAGGTATGCTATTTTACAATAAACACGCTCACCAAAAATAGAGTACGTTATTTACGAAAAACGTACTTTGGTTTAACGCGACCAAAACGGTTGGTCCACATTGTGAATTCGTTATTAAATATGGACGGGCCTAGTTATTAAATTGTTGTTTTTGGCTAGTCTCGATCTTGGCAAAGTCTTTCCATTTCTACATTTGTATTTGCAAGTCCGTCAAGTTTTACTTCTGAAGTGTTACATTTAAAAAATCAAACTATCCGTCTGTCTCCTACCTACTATACAATGCGGAAATGAAAGTGCGCATGAGGTCTAAAACATATCACTGTTATGGAGCGTACGCATAATTGGTTCTGTAAATGAAAACACACACAAAACGATTATATCGTACGTGTAACACATTGATTTATTAAAGCCAAATGTGACACCTGACACTCGATGTAATCAACAGCAATTATCGTAGTGTTCATAAGTCTATCGATCAACTTTCAAAGCCATACTAGCTCCTGTAAAAACATGAACCCGTGAAGCTGTCTTAGGTTGTGATTTTAATGTGGATGACCACGCTTTGTGACCAATTTTCCGGTTTGCGCTGTCGTCTGTTTGGGTGTACGTACAGAATACTGTTGATCAACATTGATGAAGTTTGATTTTTTATTATGAACAACATGGTTTTGACGGTCCGAACACTTTACAGCCTGACTTTATCGTAAATTCTTTTTACCGATTTCATGCTAGTCTACTCACGAAAGTTGTCCGTACACACGAAATGGCGAGATGTCGTATTATTAATAAGTGACAAAATGAAATTCGAACACTAAGCAGTAGACGATGTTTTGATGTTGGATTTACGCTATCGAAACCAATATCTTACTTCGAGGTGTCCGAGATTTTACGACTTTTCAGGGTTCGAATTATCATAGTTTGATTTACTAAGATAAAGAAGAGGTTTGACCGGGACCGGAAAGATACTTCGAGATAAGCGGGGTCTTCGAGTTAAAAGAGTTCGAGATAAGGAGGTTAGACTGTATATAATTTCCCACTTAATTCGTGTTATTGAAATTTCGTTTTAGTTATTGCGTGTAACCAACCCCTTGATGTCGCATATGGATACTGGAATAGTACCGGTCTGGTCCCTAACTCCACTGCTGTCCTCGTTTGTGAAGGTGGAAGACGACCTAACAGTTCTGACGTCATATCCTGTACCCTAAACGGCACATGGGAACACAGCGACGATGCGTGCATTGAAAGTAGGACGGTTTATTGTTCATTTAAGAGGAATAGTCAACTTGAATATCCATTTAAAGTTGAATCTTAAATCTCTATATCATAGGGCGATGGACTGAGTCGGTCTTTAGACAAAGTAGTCCATGTTGAATTTGTATCAAGACCAACTCAATTCATCACCCATGATATCGACAAAAATAATCTTTATATATCACCTTTATTCAATAAGTATGAATATAAATAGTTTATTGCTAATACTTGAGCTGATGCAAGTCTACGTATTAACGTAATGTTAACGAATTAGTCCATCATTTGGGGTCCATCATTCAGCGATGAAGTGAAAGCTGTTAAACGGATAAACAGCAATATTGTGATACGATCAATACACATTGTAAATTCTAATAAAATCTGAAAATACGTATTTATACGCACAGACAATGTTAATATGGTCAATGTCTTATGTAATTAAAACAAACAATAGTTGGTAGTTTAATTGAGGCCAACTTGAATAGAAGCTGAAGTAGTAGGCTCATTTTGATGCAATACAGTTTGATACCTACTATCTTTATCAGAGCTGTGTGGAAAGTCAACAATGCCAGTATTAACAGAATACCAATGCCTTATAGTTACAAAATACAAGCTTAACATGGAATTCAATCATGTTGTTGGGTATATGGCGCATCTTTCTCACCAGTCTGAAGACTAATTGAATCTTTCATCCTCTTTGGGTGAGATAGGGGAATCTCAACCAAAGGAGGAAATTCTGAAGTTCGCAAACACGAGGCTTGCCGATAGTCCCAATCTCACCTCAAGAGGATTTATGATAAACGTTATATTACCCTGTTTACCCTTTCAAGCACATAATGCAATGTTAGCGTTACATGTACAATGACGTCATTGTATTGTTGACGTAACGTCATACAACTGTTATGAGGGGAATCACCTGTCTCAAACCTCGGCTGAGATAAGGATTTCTCTTACCCTGGACAGGGATATCCACCATTTTACCGGTGTGAGATTTTCTTATCTCACCCTAGGGTTGAGACAAGCTACAAGTGTTCTTTGCACGTTCTCAACAAGTGTATGACGTGATAGCAACAATACCATGACGTCACGGCAACAATACAATGACGTCATGGCAACAATACAATGACGTCACGTCGACAATTCAGCCGCATCACATCAACATTGTCTTGCATTGATGTCACGTCTATATAAAATACATAAGAGGGTAAATACAGGGTAAGAAAAAATAATCATTCACCCCCTTGGGAGTGAGACAGTGTGATCTCAACCCTCGGGGTTAGATTATTAAGCTGTCAAAAACTCGGCAAGCCTCGTGTTTGACAACTGAAGAAGATTACCCCTCGGGTTGAGATTACCCTGTCTCACCCCAAGGGGGTGAAAGATTCTATTAATCTCAAACACGGAAAAAATGTTGATACAACCTGTTCAGGGTAAGAAAAAATGTTTCCAAATTTACCACCTTCCATATGCGGCAATTAACTAAAAATTATTAATGTAACGATGTGCCTTATTTTTTCACACTTTGCTGTCAGTCCGTTGCGGCGCACTCCCTGATATTCCAAATGGACGTTGGATGGCATCAAGCTTTCTCTTGGGTACTAATGCCACTCTGCAATGTGATATCGGGTCAACATTGAACGGATCACACCTGATGACGTGTGACGAGAACGGCGAATGGAATTTCAATGGACAGACATGCGCTATAAGTAAGTACTGGATAATTGTGAAACACAGTATGTAATTGTATATAAACGCTGACAACTTTTATCTATTAACTTGTCATAATGTTAGTAGATGTGTGATATCGTATGTAAGGAATGGTAATACTTATGCATGTGTCATCTGCATGCTTTATACCTATTTGAAGTTGATTGTGGGACACCTCCGTCAATATCACACGGACAGTTGGTCAGCGCTGGGACAACTTTTGGACAGACGGCCGTATTGGAGTGCGATGAGGGGAGGGTACCCGTTGGAATCAAGGACGTTGTATGTGGAGTAAACGGAACGTGGGAAACTGGCACACAGACCTGTGATCTGAGTATGTACATATGTCACTTAGCATATACCATTCAAATGACTTTGCTGTTTGTGTAACCTTGCGTCACTTGTATAAAACAGCTAAGGTCATATGAAGAGGGTGCCTAGGTGACACCACCAAAAGAAACCATTAGGGAAGTGAAATAAGAAAAGATAGATACCAAGTGTTGAAATGGGGAAGTAGATAAAGTATGGTCTCTTTGATAGCATCAATGAGGAAGATACAGAAGGAAACTATCGATTCTGCAGGGGATCCTACATAAGTAGTGCTATGGGATACAGCAGGCCTAATCTTTCCCCGAACTTGCACAGATTGACCTGTAAGACACTGAACTTCGGTTACTCAGAATTCACAGACCAGTGACGTTTATATTCCTTTTTGTTTTCAAGTTGACTGCGGACATCTGCCCGCGTTGCCACGTGGTCATTGGGTTGCAAATGCAACAACTTTTGGGCAAAGAGCTAAACTCGCGTGCGAGGAAGGACGACAACCAAAGGGGATAACAACCATCACGTGTGGACTCAGTGGGAAATGGAATAACGGCACACACACATGTGATCTTGGTATGATTAAATCCTACCTCAAACGAGTGCAATCTAACTTCCCATGGTGTATCTGTTTGGTATATGTCGTTTGTTCAGTCTTCGTTTACGTGCTGTCTCGTTATGTATTGCTGCTGAAGGTTTACACATTTGTATATTGTGACAGTGGACATGTTTTGCGTTGCGTAAATTAGCACGGAAATATAGATACGCTTGTATTTGTATATTATATAAAACTTTTCGACATATTGAATATATATATGTCGTCGACGCGAACATTTTCACACTGCGATCCATTTAAGGATTCACAACGCAGACATTTCCACTTTCATAGTCCCTTCAGTCTTAAGGAATTTGTCGTTATATATCAGTTTATATGCAAACCTTAGCCATATTAACTAACATCCTTTTTTTTCATAGATTACCTTTGAACAAAAATTGTATTTATATTTTCCAGTCAACTGTGGTCCCCCACCAAGTGTAGCCAATGGGCAGTGGACTGGCAGAGTTTACACCTGGGGTTCGGTGGTCAGACTGCGTTGTGACCCCGGAAGAACACTCGTCGGAAACCTCACAATAAACTGCACAGCCCAAGGACAGTGGTCAAGTGATGGGCAGACTTGTGTCGATGGTAATTGTCTTCGTTTTATAATCGGTATATGACTGTTTTGGAAAGGTCTATAAAATTTAAGTATTTTATTTCTTCGAGGATTTGACAGATTATAATCAGCAGCAACAAAACTGAATGCAATAAAGAAGCAAATAGAAAAAATACAAAGAAAGCCAACACTGGACACTTTGATATCCTTGAAAACTAACATCAAAACATAATGCTAAAAGGGGATGCAGTTTCCCTTGTCATGCGGAGAGTTATATAATTATTCAGTTGAATTCAGTCAATCTCTTCCCAGAGTTGTCGTTCTTGCACTCACTTTACTGACACCTCTGAGTAGAAACTGAGGATTTATGTAACTGCCTTTGCTAACGTCTATATTGTAAACATTGTAACAGATCCCAAGGTTTGTTTAGCTTCATACATGTACAATGGTTACTTCGTGTTTGTTCAGTTGATTGTGGAAATCTGACTTCGGTTTCGTATGGACAGTGGATCAGTAATGGAACAACATTCGGTCATACGGCCTCATT